TGATAGTGTACACACTGTGTGGTGAATAGTGTACCACTGTGTGTGTGAATAGTGTACACACTGTGTGTGTGAATATGTGACACACTGTGTGTGAATAGTGTACACACTGTGTGAATAGTGTATACACTGTGTGTGTGAATAGTGTATACACTGTGTGAATAGTGTACACATGGTGTGAGAGTGTACACACTGTGTGTGAATAGTGTACACACTGTGTGTGAATAGTGTACACACTGTGTGTGAATAGTGTACACACTGTGTGTGAATAGTGTACACACTGTGTGTGAATAGTGTACACACTGTGTGTGTGAATAGTGTACACACTGTGTGTGTGAATAGTGTACACACTGTGTGTGAATAGTGTACACACTGTGTGTGTGAATAGTGTACACACTGTGTGTGAATAGTGTACACACTGTGTGTGAATAGTGTACACACTGTGTGTGAATAGTGTATACACTGTGTGTGTGAATAGTGTACACACTGTGTGTGAATAGTGTACACACTGTGTGTGAATAGTGTACACACTGTGTGTGAATAGTGTACACACTGTGTGTGAATAGTGTACACACTGTGTGTGAATAGTGTACACACTGTGTGTGAATAGTCTACACACTGTGTGTGTGTGAATAGTCTACACACTGTGTGTGAATAGTGTACACACTGTGTGTGAATAGTCAGCCCTTGCTTCCGAATGCAAATGCGGTTCAATATCTGGTGGCCTTGAGGCTTTTGCGGGAGGGGCTGGCTGTCTGTGTGTGCGGGGCGTGATGCTGCCCCTACCTGTTTGTCCGCTCTACCAGTTCCTCCTCTTCAGACTCAGACACCGCTCGGAATGTACAGCCCAAGCTTGTCCATTGGCGCCGTTCAAGGACCCCCCCCCTCCTTCTCAGCTTGCTACAGCCAAATGTGGGAATTTATGCTCGTTCGGTGCAATCGCCTGCACAGAGAGGTTTTAATGTACTAATAGGGGGTTTCTCATTTTTTCTGGCTACAAAACTGACACCTTCTGCAAGGAATCATGTTTACATTAATCACAATACTTGCAGTCAAATGCAAACAAAAAACAACACTCTGATAATTTATGCATTGTCCTTGAAACTGATTGGTCCACACCAGACAGCTTTTCTTAGCGCCTAGTCTCATATGGTGTTCGACCAGATGACGCCAAAAGGCGTACGATTCCTTGCAAAAGGTGTCAGTTTTGTTGCCAGAAAAAAGGGGGAAACCCCGATTAGTATATTTTGGTACTGGCAAAGGAGGCCTCATGAGGTTTCAATGTCTTTCTTCTAAAAGTTACCGCAATCCTTTCCCAGTATTGCAGAACTTGACTGTATTGGGTGTCTCTATCGTGTGAGTGATAATCAGCCACAGGTGGTGGCTGGTCATCATTGGGCCATGATCTGTCCGCTGCTTGACGTTGGCCCTTCCCAAGCCTGTTTTCCACGATCTCTCACGATCTTGTGGCGTAGCAAGTTCACGCAGCTCCAGCTCTCGGGACGATTTCACCGCCCCGTCCGTCTCCGCGGCCGACGCACTCCCCGGCGCGTTCCCTCCACTCGGTCCGTTTGGGCTGCAAACTCCATCGCTGTTCTCGATCATCAGCGACGTGTCCTGCCCCGGCCCACTTCCTCTTCTTGAGAGTCGACGCCACCGTAGCGCCTCTGGCCTCTGTCTCGCGCGTGTTCGCTGACTTCACGCGTTCCTCCTCCTGTCCCCTTGGTGTGTTATTCCAAACCTGAGTCTCGCCTTGCTCCTTCGCACACTCGTCACTCGTTCTTTTTCCGTATGTTCCGTCCGCGTCTTTGTTTCTTATCCATGTGTCGTAAGCGCGCAATAAGCGCCGGTCGGGAAACGCCTCCTCTCCAGGCACATTGGTGTGTTGCTTCTCGTGATCAAGTTATGTCTGCCAAAAGCTCCACAATTAGGCAGTGCCCAAGGGTTAGGGATAGTTTGGCGGTCTTGTGTTAGAAGTTGCTACGGATGCGTGCAGTGCGACCGGTCAGTCTATCCTTATTATTACTACTCTTACTATTTATTACTATTTTACTTTCCCCAGGTAAGGCCCACTGAGCTATGCAGCTCTTTGTCAGAAGCGACCTGGCCACAAATGATATCTCAACGAAGTGGCTTATCACGTAGAAATTTAAAGCCAAATACTATAAACACATGGTAATTCTATTTGTGGAGGGAAAAATCCACGCGACCACGGGGAAAACACGCAAGCTCCAATTATATAGGCAGCAGTGTCAGGATCTAACCCACGACCTCCTGCATACCAGGCGAGGTAGTTAACATCTCGCCACCGTGGTGGCTCTTGCCATCGTGGCAATAGCCTTGTTTCACTTTCAACCAAACGTCGCAACCTCAACAGCCGGTGGTCGTTTCGTTGAGCCAGGAGGGTTGAAGGCTTGAGGAGGTGACCATGCCCTGGGTGATGGATTCACGTTACGCTCATCAGCCCAGGGCTCACATCAGCTGTGTGATCCTGCTTATGGCTGTGAGCCAGAGTTTGGCTACTCGCTTATCTAAAACAGCAACAAACGCTACTGAAAGTGACAAGCCGTCGCGAAGTGTTCATTGTAATATAGGACGGAACGGCCTTAGGCGTAGGGTTTTAATTGTGCGCGCACACCGCTTGTTTGCAAGGGAACGCGTTTCGCCGTTGAATGGTGAATTGCATTTTTATCAGAGGGAAGGCACCGTGCAGATACAGTGCTGCGATGAGCTCGCCTCTCGGTGTAGTGCGGAATTCACCAGGGCAAACTGTTGCTGCAATTTGTACAACTATTCCTCAGGGTGGCACTTCCACTTCTGTGGGCCTACGCACGACGGCCGACGTTTACAACTTGACGAGCCCTCGTGAACAGTGGAGGGCCCCGTCCTGCTGCGGCAGATTGCTCTCGCGTCGTTGTTTGGGCGTTCTCGCGTGTGTCAGGTGTGTGCGTGTGTCAGGTGTGTGCGTGTGTCAGGTGTGTGCGTGTGAAGCAGGGTGACGCAAGCCTGGACTGTGTGTTGCACTCCATCGCGAGAGTGGTGGCACAGCAGTTAGCACGACGAACCCGGCCACCCAATTGTGAACCCCTTCACCCTCCACCAACCCATGTTGACCACCGTGGTGAAGTATGGTCAAGCAACCCCCCATTATTGCCATGGCCTTTGGGGACACTTCACCCGGTAGTGAATGAACAACGCACTCAGAAGTTGAGTAAAGTTGGACCGCGCGAGAGCTGAGCTCTTGTTAAAACACCCGATCGTGCCGTTTGTAATCTCCAGCAAAACGTCGAATAAAACTTGTGCAGTATTCCGCTTGCTCTTCAACATTCCTCTGGCTTTGCTGAAACCCCAAATCAATTGGCACGTTTGACTGCGTGACAACCTGATTTGATTGGCTGTGTCGGGTGGATGGATGGATGGAGGGTTATAGTAAAATAAATGGCTTTATACGTACAGGGCGATCTAACTCGGAAGAAACTTAATAATTAATCGGAAGGTGAAGACCCTCGAGGCGTTTTGTGTCGGGCGGTTCTGGGGGACACCAGGGCACGGGTGCACGTGGAGTGGCCGGTGTGGGCAATGCACCGCCCCCACTCTTGCTATCCGTTCGTGGGTTTTGTTTTGTTCAGGAAACACAAAGCTGCGGCCTCTCCCACCATGAAGGATGTTCCACGTCGGACCTGGAGCATGCCTTCTTGATAGCCGGGAGACGTCTACAGCCTAAGGGGTGTTGGTGGGACACAACGCAGGCAACGTTAAACAAACTTGAAATCAGAGTTACACGCCGGAGAGATTGAGTAACAGTGCGACGCGCTTTGGTCTGTCACGCGTTCTGCTCTTGCTGTGAATCTTTGAAGAAAAAAACTGCCACTGGGGTTAAACATTGAACCCAACATTGCTTGACTTGACTCACAATTTAGATGAGGGGCTGAGTCTTCAGCAAGGGGGGTTCAGCCCCCTCCAGCACCTCCGCCCCCACGCTACGGTGGGGGCTACTTCACGTCTTGTGGCTCGTGCCGAGTAATCCATTTCACAAGAGCGGCCGTTGTCTTGCATGCACTGTCGCCATCCTCTGGGCTTGACTAATCGGTGCAACTTCACTCAAAAGTCTGTCCACCGATGATGTTACTGAGCTGTCTTTTGCAATGGGGGCGGCTGCGGTGGCGGGGAGAAGTGATCCGCCCTTGCCTTGTACGTGGGAGGTCGTGGGTTCGAAACCTCGCCCTGACCGTCACGTGGATGTTTTCTCCGGGTCCTCCGGTTTTTGCCCTCTGTGTTTACAAACGTGTTTACCAACATGCGTTTCGATTTCTTGGCTGCAACTGTAAATTCCTACACGTGATGAGGTCAGCCACTTGGGTGAGCATGATGATATCGTGTGCGGACAGGCCGCCTCTAAAAAACAGCTCATAGCTGGGTGGGCTTAACCTGGTCAAATAAAAAATAGTTGAGTTTGAAAAGCCGTGGCTATTTATTTGTTTATTGTTTTATATAAGATGTGTTTGCCGAGCAATATGTGATGATCGAAAACTATGTGCCACATGTAACAAAAAAAACCATAGCCAACTAACATTGCTAAAACAAACAAAAACCCCCATACAATACAACTGGCAGTTGGCCAAACATAAAATCTCAGCGGCGGTACAGGCTCAGTGGACATCCCAATATCGTGACGTTCATCACGGTGCGGGACCACGATCGCGCTCCGACTTACGTGCGTCGGTGACACCGTCTGCCTGCCGCGAAAACCGTGTCCCTGCGGTACAGCGTCCCTGTCTTTCCGGCTGTATTCCCCCGTCGTCTGCCCCATCTCTTCGATTGCGTGTGCTACCACGTGCCACGAAGCTGCCATTCGTGCCGTCACAGGAGCAAGCTAAAGCAAGTTGCTGGTCAATTTGCAGCTGAGCAATTCCCTCGTTTAGTCGGAATGCAACATTTGGCAGCATTTCAGAGATGCTGCATCGCAATGATTAATGTTGCTCTATTTCTGTTTTTTCTTACAGTTACCACAACGATGCTCGCAAACAGGCAAAGGTTTGTTGCTTTGCACTCACATTTGAAATGTTCTGTTTTGTTTGGGCAGCTTTGAATGCCCGCTATACACACACACACGTAAGGGGTTTCTCCTTATTTGTGTGCGCATGACCATGTGTGCTCTAAGGGTTTAAGGAATCTGCGTCCGTAGACGGCAAGTGGGTTACTCACTCAGTTCAGCATGGAGAGTGGCAGTCGCCTACTGTTTTTAGCACTGAGCCAGTGGTGGAAATTCCACATTGCTATGGCAGGGGCAAGTCTCGACACAGGACAACCACTGTTGGCTTTTTTACACCCAAGCTGATGTTTACTTCATCGATACTGAAGGGATGGCAGGGTGGTTTGACCCCTGACCAGAATTTTAACTTATTCAGTCAAAATGGAGTGGATGTCGTGTCAGTCACCAGGGTCGTTTAACCATACTTCACCAAGCGGGTGAGTGCGGGTTTGTGAAGCGGTAGGCCCAGGACCAGTTCAGGTGTAACTCGCCACTAATGCTTGCCGTGGCCAGGAATTGAACTCGGACCATTGCACCACCACTCCACTCATAGCAATGATCAGTGATGAGCGATATCTGAACCGGCACTGGGCCTCCCCTAGGTTGACTCAACGTTAAATGAGTAGCTGCACATCAGCCGAGCGTGTTGATGGCAACTCCACGCCTTCTGAGCCACACTGGGTTTTTTAACAGGGGCGCCATGGTGGCGAGATGTGAACTACCTCGCCTGCTACGCAAGAGTGCGTGGGTTCGATCCCAACCCTGATGCCTGTATGCTTGGAGTGTGCATGTTCTCTGTGTGGTCACGTAGATTTTTCTCCGGATCCTTCGGTTTTCTCTCCACATTTAGAATCAGCATGCACTTAGAGTATTTAGCTGCTATAAATGTCCACGTGATGACAAGCCACTAAGTTGAGCTCTCATTAGTGGCCAGGTTGCTTCTGAAAAAGACCTATACAGCTCAGTGGGCCTTACCTGGTAAAATAAAATAAAATAAAAATTTAAGCTTTCGTGACTGCAGAAATGACTATACTCATTGGTGCTTTAGGTAAAGTCACGTATGTAGAAATAAAATCAAATTTAAATAAATCACAAATTAAATTAAAATAAATCACGACGTTTCGAACGCAACACAAGCACTCATCATCAGGCGGAAATGGGGCAAAACGCATAGCGAGGGAACACACAGAGGGACATCACACACAGAGCACACAGAGAACGGCAAACTGCACGGAGGCAAATACAGCAAGAAGATGGGAGACGCGAACTCAACAAACCTTAGAAACATAATGTGATGCAAACCAATGAATAATTTTTAACAGGTGCTCGCTAGCGGCATATTCTGCAACAGGCGATCAGGCGATGAGGGGGTTATTTATCAGTGTATGCAACATTTGTGGTTCGTGTTGTACATGGTGCGTGCATATGCATGCGGTGTTTGTGCTTTGTGTGGTGGTGTCACCTCCAGTGCATGTGTGTGTTTGCACGTGCAGTGTACGTGACGTGTGGATTGTGCCCTGGTGTGCTCGGCCTGTGTACGTGTATACGTGTGTGCGTGTGTGTACGTGTGTGCGTGTGTGTACGTGTGTGCGTGTACGTGTGTATGTGTGTGCGTGTACGTGTGTACGTGTGTATGGGACACGTGTGTACGTGTGTGTACGCGTGTGTACGTGTGTGTACGTATGGGATACGTGTGTGTACGTGTGTGTGTAAGGGACACGTGTGTGCACGTATGTGCGTGTACGTGTGTATGGGACACGTGTGTGTACGTCTGTACGTGTGTACGTGTGTACGGGACACGTGTGTGTACGTGTGTACGTGTGTGTATACGTGTGTGTGTGTATGGGACACCTTCTTGTTTCTTTCGGTAAAGTCACGTAGAAGGGAAGTAATAAAATAATAAAAATAAAACATAATAAAACAATTCTCACGACGTTTCGGCTACAACGCAAGCAGCCGTCTTCAGGTGAAGAATGAGACACTACCAAACTAGGAGCTTATATATAAGCTGCATTGGGGGTTGAAGAGCGCCTTAACAAAAAGAATGTGCATGTGAAGAGGGATTTAGCATATTCATGGAAAATGCGTAGGCGTTGGGCGGGGGGGGTGTCAAAGTCATATTATGCCCATGCATTATGCAGGATCAGCAGCAACCAAGGGGGGTGCAGGGATTAGCAGTAACAAAGGAAAGGAATGTTAATGATATGTAGCTGCAGTTACTCAACAACCACGTAGAAAACTAAAGTATAAACTACATAAAAAACTAAAGTATAAACTGCATCGCACCATCAGTATACTTACTATACTCTATAATAAGCTGAGTTACTAACAGCAAGTAATACATTACAATTCTACCTCGTAAAAATTCTATAATATGCTTCCATCTAAACCTTATTCTCTTATATCACACGAGCATATACCGTACTATATACTGCCATAGATAAACCCAACATTAAATTATATACTGTATTGCTGTAAACCAACTTATATCTTATACATTTAATATAACACTATGTATTATTCTACACACCCTAATGTGTATCGAAATGGTTTATTACGTCCTTCCAATGATTGCTGAGCCAGAATCCATCTTCTCGGTTAAAATTGTCTCTGTGTTTGTATATGTGGATCGCCTCATGAACGAATCTCTCATGATAGCCAGATGGCTTGCAGAGAACCTCTGTCTTGGAGAAGTCGATATCATGTGAGCCCACTGAGTTGTAACAGTGATCTGCCACGGCTGAGGTGTTTGTCCTACCGTGTTTCAGGTCAGCTTTATGTTCACGGATGCGGTCCGAGACATGTCGTTTGGTTTCCCCAATGTAACTGCTACCACAGAGGCAACTTAGTTTGTAGACGCCAGGGTACTGTATGTCTGGAACCACATCTTTTACAGACGGTACCAGATCACGGATTTTATGTACTGTGTTGAATCGGACCTGGATCTTGTGTTTAATCAGGATTTTGGAGATCTTTTTTGTGACTCCAGCAATGTAGGGTAAGGTGATGGTCTTGAAAGGCTCCTCAACAGGATCCTTCTTGATGGTTGGAGTGATGGCTTTGCGGATTGTATAGTCGGAGTAACCATTTGCCTTAAGAACTTGGCGTACGTGTTTGAGTTCACTGGAAATGTGTTCATGGTCGGAGATGCATTGGGCTCTATGATATAGAGTCTTGATGAGGGAATTCTTCTGGGATGGATGGTGGTGGGAATCCGGTTTTAGATAAGCATCCGTGTGGGTGGCTTTCCTGTAGACAGAGTGGCTCATTGAACCATCAGGTCTCCTTTTGATTAGGACATCCAAAAAGGGTAGCTTGCCATCATTTTCGACTTCCATGGTGAATCTGATGGCTGGGTGTATGGAATTGATGTGGTCGAGAAATTGGTCTAGAGCAGGCCGGCCATGTGGCCAGATGACAAAAGTGTCGTCTACGTACCTCTTCCATAAGGTCGGGCGTAGAGTGGCAGTCTGGATAGCGTCCGTCTCAAATTTCTCCATGAAGATGTTGGCTACAACCGGAGATAGGGGGGAGCCCATTGGGGTGCCCTCAATTTGCTTGTAGAAGGTTCCATTCCAGGTGAAGTATGTATTGGTTAAGCAGTGTTTCACCAGGGGGGGTACCCCAGCATTCAGTCCTTGATGAACCAAGTCTTCAATGATTGCGATGGTGTCAGGCACAGGTACCTTGGTGAACAAGGAAACCACATCAAAACTGACAAGCAGGTCGTCTGGGGACAGGGCAATCCCCTTGATTGTCGATACCAGGTCAGTAGAGTTTAGTACTGCAGAGGTGGTTTTTCCAGTGAAAGGCCGTAGGATTTCGGACAAAAAACGAGCCAGTTTGTAAGTGGGGGAGTTGATAGTAGAGACAATGGGACGAAGAGGTGTATCTTCTTTATGTATCTTTGGCAAGCCGTACAATCTTGGTGGTCTGGCTGCAGAAGGTTTCAACGAGAACTGTTTGGTCTGATCAATTAATGCGGTTGAAGCAGAAATGATGTTGTTGGTTTTGGAGACGAGGCTGTTGGTGGGGTCTCTTTTTATTTTTGTATAGCTGCCATCGTTTAATAGTTCTTGAATTTTGTTGTTGTATTCTATTTTGTCCATGATGACAGTGGCATTGCCTTTGTCGGCTGAGAGGATGACAATGTCATCCCTCTTTTTTAATTGAGCTAATTCAAAACGCTCCTCTTTGCTGATGTTGCTAGCTGGCATCTTAGCGTTTTTGAGGGTTACAGAGATTTCAGATCTTGCTACGTCTGCAGCGATGTGACTCAAGCCCTTGAGAGCTACATCTACTCGAGCAATTATATCATTAACTGGTATGTGTCTAGGTGTGACTGCAAAGTTTAGTCCTTTAGCTAAAACGGATTTCAAACCTTCAGAAATAGGACTGTTACTGCGATTAATTACGACTTTGTTAATATCTAGCTTTTTAATGTGTGGGTCCGGTTTCTTGTTTGAGAGGCGATTGAATTTGGAAATCAAGTTGTCCTTACATTTAGTCGACATAGCGGCAGCTGAAGAGGCAGTCATTTTTTCCACATGTTCCCAATCCGATGTGGACATTGTTACACTCAAAGATAAGTGTGATTTGTAGAGTGTCTTGTCTAACTGATCTAGTTCGGTGCGCGTAAGTCTGATTTTCTCTGAGATAAGAGCTAAGCTAGTTCTAGACAGAATTCGTTTCGCATTAGAAGAAGTTACAGCAGCAGATGTTAGTGTAAATGCGTTTGGTATTACCTTAGAGTCGCGGCATCTCTTCAGAAAGGTGAGAGACTCGATTAGCTGAGCCTTCTTATCCCGGAGCTTGTTGAAGGATCTCAAAGTTATGTGGAAACCCTCCCCGTAGAGGCGGTTAAATTTCGATTTAAAGCTTTCGTGACTGCAGGGATTCATCTTCTTGTTTCTTTCGGTAAAGTCACGTAGAAGGGAAGTAATAAAATAATAAAAATAAAACATAATAAAACAATTCTCACGACGTTTCGGCTACAACGCAAGCAGCCGTCTTCAGGTGAAGAATGAGACACTACCAAACTAGGAGCTTATATATAAGCTGCATTGGGGGTTGAAGAGCGCCTTAACAAAAAGAATGTGCATGTGAAGAGGGATTTAGCATATTCATGGAAAATGCGTAGGCATACACACGTGTGTACGTGTGTATGGGACACGTGTGTGTACGCGTGTACGTGTGTATGGGACACGTGTGCGACGCGTGTACCTGTGTTGTGGACGTGCCCCCCGCTTGTGTCCCTGCAGACGTTCAGGTTTGACTACTGCTTCTGGTCAATTGACGAGACGAACAAGGAGAAGTTCTCTGGTGAGTGGCGAGCAGTGGCGCCTCCCCCCTCGCCGAGCGTGGGCACACGGGCTGCGGGGGAACGCACCGCTGCAAAGGGCCGTAGCGCGATGATTTCAGGCAGCGTCCACATTGAGACTTCCCGAGTGTTTCCCCCTCGCGCGAATGTACAGCTGGTTTTGGTGACAACGATTTCAACTCGTAATGCGCCGCTGTCGCTCTCGTAGAGAGAGTGAGGCCTCGGGGGCACGAGGAACCACGGACGAGCACGCAATGAGTCGGCGCCTGCAGTTGCCCAAGTTCTGCGGTCCTCTATGTATTAACCCTTTCCCGCTCCGAATGAACGCACGTGCACGTTATCAGTTTTAATTCCGCTTCTGATCACGTATGTGTACAGCATTAAAATTAAACTGGAAGAAAAACTAAAATAAAATAACTACCGCTACCGAGGCTCCCACAAGGTCATGTGGGATGGTGTGTGGCACAGTTGGGCACTAGCTATCGTAGAGTGCGGTCGTGTTGCTACAGTTGTCTGCAGTGAGTCGATTGTCTTTAAAAATAATGGCGCTATGCCTCTCTAAATAAAAGTAACGCTTCACCGCTCGTGCGTTACGAGATTCAGAGGTGAACAGGACACCCCACCCTGCAACTTGCATACGTCTCGGAACGGTAAAGCGTTCAGGTGTTAGCGGCCAATTAATAAGTGTTTACATGTTGGAGGAACCCACTTCACCCAGAGAAAACCCACGCATGCAAGGGGGAAACACTCTATCCCATACCAACGGAACAGGTGGAGTCTGCGTGTTTGCTGTACTGCCTTCTCCTTGCAAGCCAGGGTATGATACATAATAAAGGTTTTTGGGTCTGATCGCGTTATTTATAAATGTGTGGTAACCCTCCACCACCCGACATGGCCAAACAGTAAAAAATGTGTCACGTTTACAAAGGACAAAATTATTCACTTCTTTAGCCCACCGGTGTGTTAAAGAGCGAATCAACATCATTTAAAATTTGAGTAGTCCAACGTTTCGCTGGTAATTACATCCAGCTTCATCGGGCGATTTGCCAGAATGGTGAGGCTCTCCTGACACGTTTTTACTGTTTGGCCGTGTCGGGTGGTGGAGGGTTACGACACATTTGTAAATAACGCGATCTAACCCAAAAACCTTTCTTATGAATAATATTGGTCGCGAAAGCCTACGTGTTAAACAGGGTATGATACCTCGACACATACGGAAAGGGGGTTTCGCAACGTCGATGCGGTCCACCAACCCTAGCCTCCATAGTGCTGCATTGCAGGCGTGCACCACCACCGCCCAGCATCATCACCATCATTGTCATCCGCGTTCAATCCACTGCTGGATGAAGGCTTCCACAAGGAAAAGAATGACCATAACATATACCTTTAAACAATATATACCTACTATGAAAGTATTTATTTGATGGACTAAGACACATTCAATTAACTTTAACAGTTGCAGCAAATGCATGTCAGGTAGCACTCTGTGTGTGCGTCCTGGCGAGAGCGACTCTGTGTGTGTGGGTTCGTGCGTTTGCAGGGCAAGACGTGGTGTTCCAGTGCCTGGGGGAAGACCTCCTAGACAACGCCTTTGATGGCTACAACGCGTGCATCTTCGCCTATGGGCAAACCGGTACATGCCCACCCCTGTGTACACGCGTGTGGTGTGTGGTGTGTGCCCTTGCGTGCATATATGTGTGTGTGTGCTCGTGTACATGCCTGTCTGTGTGTGCGCCCGTGTACACACACGCTTGTGCGTATATATCATGAACTTCTTTTGCACCGTACTTAGCCAAACATGATAATCGGAGGTGCGGGTTAGCGCGCCGCGCTACAAACTCGGCGAGCCGAATGTGTGTGTGTGTGCGTGCGCGTGCGTGTGCGTGTGCGTGCGTATGCGTACGTGTGCGTGTGTGTGCGTACGTGTGCGTGCGTGTGTGTGTGCGTGCATGTGTGTGTGCGTGTGTACGTGTGTGTGTGTGCGTGCGTGTGTGTGTGCGTGTGTACATGTGTGTGTGCGTGCGTGTGTTCAGGCTCGGGCAAGTCGTACACGATGATGGGCACCGCGGAGCAGCCGGGGCTCATCCCGCGCCTGTGCTGCGAGCTCTTCCAGCGGCGCGAGCGCCTGCAGAGCGCCGACCTCTCCTGCAAGCTGGAGGTCTCCTACCTGGAGATCTACAACGAGCGCGTGCGCGACCTCCTCGACCCCAAGGGGTGCGCGCCTTCGCTTACGGCGACGCGCGACAAGTGGCGCCCCCGCGACCCGCACGGCATGGGGAGCCCCGCCGCCCCCCTGCCCCCCCCCTGCCCCCCTCCCCCCTTCCAGCAGCACGTTGATAACGGGCCGTACGCTTGCGTCGTCGCGTGCGAACGTGCGTGGTGCGGGTCGTCGTTTACAGCCCGGTGGCGGGAGATGCTCCGTTGTCCAGGGTCACGGGGGGAGGGAGGCGGGGGAAGGAGGATGGGTGGCCCGCGTAAAGAAAATACGCGGATGTTGCAACACCGATATAAGTTAGACGATGCAAACGTAGTCATTGCTAACCTGTACGTGGGGCGTATGTATGTTGAACTTTCGCACCATACGGAGCCAACCATGGTAATCGGGGGTTATCATTTGCATTATTATTTGGTAATTGGTTTTCTGGCCATGCGGAAATGCAAGTGCCGGTTGGTTGGTGAACATAACTTGGCCTCCTCTTAATTTGACTCGGCCTGAGACAAGTACTCGGTGCAGCGGGGTGCGGAGACAGTTCCTGCTGGGCCTGGTTCAGGCCTCGCATCCTTCATGCACGCGCTGTGCGAGCCTTAGCAGGCGCTCGTTTACGTTACTTGTCCCTACAATCCTTGCGTGTGTCTGTGTGTGTGTAGCGAACGGTAGTGCAGGGGTTAGTGTGCTGCGCTACGAACCCAGTGAGTCGATTATCTGAACCGGTACTGGGTTTCCCCTAGGTCGACTCAACCTCCAATGAGCACCTGGAGCGGTGTATAAACACCGCCACTGGGGACACAAAGACGGCTTGGCGTGGTGCTGGCACCCACCCCCTCGTGTGTTGAGCCGGCCTTCACAGATCGTCGCTTTACAGCACTGGCTCCAAAACGACATTATGGCTATATGGGCGAATCTTTGTCGTGTGTTACACAGGAGTCAAACGGCACTCAAGGTCCGTGAGCACCAGATATTCGGTCCGTACGTCGATGGCCTTTCCCAGCTGGCTGTGACATCTTACCAGGCAATGCACGAACACACGCACCGTTCTTACTTCATGCGCATGCACGCACACGGTCACACCCGTACACGCGAGCTGGTTTTGTACAATCGCTTTGTCAATCCGCTGCTGGACGAGGACCTCTCCCCACGTCGTGAGGGTCGGCGTGGTTACTTTACCGCACTTCATCACGCCAGTCAGTGCGGCTTAGCAATGGCGACAAGTATGCAGACTTCGGATCATAGAAGCACAGGACAACGTCGTAGTGTATTGTATTCTATGCCCTGCTCTCTGCCGCTGACAATGTTGCACAGCGTTGCTTGAGCCTGTGTTATATTCTTGCGTATGGCAGCAATTTGTTCGGGAGCTAAATGCTAATGTTGTAGTCTGCTGGACTCGAGAGGGCTTCAGGCAAGAGTTTGTGTAGTTTTGCTTTTTCCCCATTGAAAGAGCACAGAAGACAACAGTGATTTATCAATAATATCGGGGTTTTTTGGGTTAGATCGCGTAAATATAAATATTTTGTGAAACCCGCCACCACTCGACATAACCAATTGGTAATGTTTGTCACGTAAACATAAAATGCCAATTTGTTACGAGTACAGCACACCGGTGTGTTGGAGAGTAAATCCACAACCTTTACAATCTGATGATGTTGGTCACGAAAGCCTACTCGTTAAACTATCGTGTTTTACTCACGGTCCATAGTTTGGGTTGCACGGCCACAGTCACACCGTGACTTGAGCCTGCGATTGCCTGGCATGCTTCGTGGATACCCATCCAAGCATAATCCAGGCTCAGGTCTGCTTAGCTTCTTATAGCTGATAGTATTAGATGCATTCTAGGTATTTAGATTTTGATTCCTGGTCATGGCCAACATCAATGAAGAGTGATTTGTGACCTGGACTTGAGTCCCCTCCTTCACCATCCCACATTGACCGGTGTGATGAAGTATGGTCAAGCATCCTCCATGACCGAGGTGGTTGTGGGGAGGCCTTCATCCAGCAGTGGATTGGTGGATTATTTTGGTTCTATTTGGATAGAAGCATGCCTGGGATGCGTTCCCAGAATGAGATTGAGAGGCTTAAAGATGAACACATGCGTTAGAGAGCCCACTGCAGGATAATGACTTTAATTTGGATTGTCTTAGACGAGGGAGTGGGCTGGGCAGGGCATGTCGCTAGAAGGGACGAAGGCCACTGGATGGCAATGACTTCCGTGCGGCAGCCAAAGGAGGGGAAATGTACCCAAGAGGGCGTTCACCGCGGAGACGGAGCAATGAGATCGGCCCTCGTGCAGGTGCTGGACTGTGACGGATCGTGGCGCGTTGGGGAGGCCTTCATCTGGCGGTGGATAGGCCAAGGCTGGCAATCATGACGATGACTTCTCTTTTTGGCCGTGAAAGGCGGACAATGCAGAGGCGTCTCTCGAGCGCAGGGATTGATGGTGGGCTGTGCGCGGCATCGCAGGACATCGACTCGCTGATGTCGGAGGGGAACAAGTCGCGGACGGTGGCGGCGACGAACATGAACGAGGAGAGCAGCCGCTCGCACGCCGTGTTCACCATCACGCTCACCCAGACGCTCACCGACCTCGCCTCGGGGGTCAGTGAGCATGCGTGCATGCGTGCGTGTGTTGTGTTTGACCAGCTCCGGTTTGACAGCGGAGGTCTCACTCTGAATGATTCGGGCGGCATTATCTTTTCATCGGCTGCGTAATGCTGTAGGAAGCTACTTGGTATGCCGCTTCACATGAAGCTTCGGGTCCTCTCGGCCACAGCCACGCCCTCCCTTCTCTATGTTTGTGAAAGTGGACCCCTCCAATGGAACATCTGCGCCGGTTAAAAACCATTCAGCCTGGCCTGCCTATGATCAATCCTGGGTTTAACCAGGATGGATTGTGTGAGGAACTTACAGGTCCTTGAAAGATCTGAACACAGTCCCATCTGTGAGCTCCTCTGGCAGGCGAAGCTGCATTGGCTGGGTCATGTAGCCCACATGCCCAGACACTGCATGCCCAAGCAGCTTCTGTTTTACCGGATATAAGGGTGTGGCACGGGATAAAGAAGTGATGGACTGATGCGGTACGGGAGGGTGTAGAGGTGAATGGACTTGCTGAAGACTGGTACCAGCGGTGTCAAAATCGGTCTCTATGGATGAGGCTCATGACGGACGCTGATGGTCAGTTGGCGGCAGTCGCCCTGCAACAATAGCGGAGGGCAGAGGATTGACGCTCACAACAACGAGCGGAGCGCCGGGCAGCTAAAGCGCAGCAAGCCTGCACAGTGGCGAGCATTGTTGGTGCATCTACCAGCCATCTCGGTCAATTTTCCCATGGCACCTGAGTTTGTCCGGTGATCTCCTGCAAGCGAGCCTTTGACACTTCAAGTGGCCTCGGAGTGCACCTGGCCTGGCACAAGTGCCACCGTGGTGATTTCACCATCACTTAGTGACGAATGGCGGCTGCTGTTGTTGTTGTAATGCTCCTAAAGTCTGTTGATGCTATACTCGTGATCTTTCTCTTTGTTGAATGTAATGGGGAGCTGTAGTGCGCTACGAACCCGGTAACCTGAGTTCAGTTCCCGCTCACGGCCAACACTAGTGATGTTTATCTGAACCGGTCCCGGACCTCTCCAAGACCAAGGTGGCCGCACGTGGTGCTGGCCGGCCACCCCCTCGTGTGCCGCGCCGACCTTCATAGGCGCTCGCTAACAGCACTTGCCCCAAAAGTCTGTTGAGGCTATACGGGAGATCTTTGTCTTTGTATGTATGTATACACTCTTGTATTTGAATGTATGCGTAATGTCAGAATGGCTGTTGTTGTTGTTGTTTGTGTAGACATCTGGTGAGAAGGTCAGCAAGATAAGCCTGGTGGACCTGGCAGGGAGCGAGCGTGCATCCAAAACCGGGGCAGCAGGGGACCGTCTCATCGAGGGCAGCAACATCAACAAGTACTGCAGCACACACACACACACACTCCAGCAATCACACACACACACACACTCCAGCACACACACACTCCAGCACACACACACACTCCAGCACTCACACACACACTCCAGCACTCACACACACACTCCAACACTCACTCACACACACTCCAGCACACACACACACACACTCCAGCACTCACACACACACTCCAGCACTCACACACACACACATACTCCAGCACTCACACACAAACTCCAGCACTCACACACACACTCCAGCACTCACACACACACTCCAACACTCACTCACACACACACACTCCAACACTCACTCACACACACACACACACACTCCAGCACACACACACACTCCAGCACTCACACACACACACATACTCCAGCACTCACACACACTCACACACACATACTGCAGCACACACACACACACTCCAGCACACACACTCACACACACACTCCAGCACACACACTCACACACACATACTCACACACTCACACACACACACACTCCAGCACTCACACACACACATTCCAGCACTCACTCACACACTCACACTCCAGCACACACACACATACTCCAGCACACACACACATACTCCAGCACACACACACATACTCCAGCACACACACACTCCAGCACTCACACTCACACACACATAGCCACACACATACCCTAGCACTCACACATAGCCACACACACACCAATACCAATGCACGCCATCCGCCACTAAGTGACTGTGACATCATCACTGCGCCTGTGCCAGGCCACGTGCACTTTGAGGCCAAGTAAAATGTCGAAGGCTCGCTGACAGGAGGTCTTGGGACAGACCCAGGTGCCATGGTTTGGCTGACTGAGATGACAGGTAGATGCACACCAGCTGTACTCCCTACTGTGCCAACTTGCTGTATTTTATCTGTCCGGTGCTCCGCTCGTTGTCGTGAGCGTCGCTCCTCTGCTCTCTGTTGTTGCCGGAGGGCGGCTGCCTCCAACTGCCCAGTAGCGTCCTTCACCAGTAGCGTCCTTCACACATACTCACACACGTACACACACACATACAAAGATTCCTCACCCCCTTATGAAGGCCGATGCACAGTATCGGCCTTCATAAGGGGGTGAGTGGCCAGCACCACGCCCGGCCGCCTTTGTCTCTCTAGTGGCGATGTTATCACACCGCACGCCCACCGCCACCCCACCCCACCCCACAGCACACGAACACGCACGTACCCACACACATTCACTGCCGCATGTGATGGCCTTCCAACGTGATGCAAGGCGGTGGGGATTATTTGATCAGACGTCACCACGCTGGTCAGTGTGAGTTGGTGAAGAAGGGGGTATCGTGGACGCGGAAGCGTTGAAGTACAGCGCAACAATGGATTTTGCTGCACTGCTGTCTCTACAAAGCCCAGCAAGCAGCCCATTGCACCGATTCAATATATTTTGGGCCTACATCCAAGCATTGTCCAAACTCTACCCAGCTTGGCCTCTGGCTATTTTGGGTGCCTTGTTTATAGGCGGTGGCTCAGAGAGAGAGAGACAATGGTGATATCAGCCATTCCATCCAGCAGTCTCATAATATCGGAGCCTGTCCCTACACCATCGCACCTACAAGCCGCACGGCACTATCCGTGTGAACGTGGGTTTTGCCGACCGTGGTGCAGATGCCGGGGGTGACTTTGGCGCCACATCTTGGTGATGCCCGCTATTCACGCTGTCTGCCTGTGCAGGTCTCTCTCCACTCTGGGATTGGTTATTTCCTCGCTCGCTGACCAGGCGGCTGGGAAGAACAAGAATAAGTTTGTGCCGTACCGTGACTCAGTGCTCACCTGGCTTCTAAAGGTACGTGTGTGCGTGTGCGTGTGTGGAGCTGTAGTGTAGCGGTTAGCGCGCTCGCTATAAACCTGGTGACCCGGGTTCAATTCCTGCTCACGGCCAACACCAGTGACGATTATCTAAACCGGTCCTGGACCTCCCTTATGTCATCTCAGCCTCAAATGAGTATCTGGTGCGGTGCGTAAACATCGTCACTGGGGAGACAAAGCCGTGACCGGGATTGGTGCTGACCACCCACCCCCTAGTATGCCATGTTGCTTGCTAACAGCACTTGAGTGTTGTTATACGCTATATGGAGGTATCTTGATCTTTGTGTGTATCTCGTAAGAATGCATGATTGAACTATGCCACAATAATGTTAAAGTAAAGAATCTATTATTTTACCTTTTATTTTCTACATCTCATTTGTATCGCCTGTCTCTGATGCCCTATCTCATTCGTACTATTTACATAATTGTAACATTCACAGCAGTTTCCATATACTTTGCATGCACTGTCAACAAAGAAACAACCCCTCAGTACCAGTGTCAGTGTTGCTCGCAATCACCTGTACAGTTTAGCCATCAGCAAGGGCTTGTCCACCTCAAACCCCGGAGGCATGATACATTACTTGGCGATAATGGTGAAATGTTATTGTAGTGACGATTCCCCATAGGAATAAAACCCAGAATGCAGTTGTCTCGATGTCGTGCTGTAGCCGAAATAAAGCAGGCAAATGTTGACTCGAGTTGGTGGTCCTAGCAAGGCTGTCTGCATTCTACACGCAGTGTGGTGATGTCACGTGACATGCAAGGTATTATGGAAAGAGCGATATTACGGTTATAATCGAGCGCCTTTTCTGACTTGAAATCACCTTGTGTGTGTGCATGCATTATTAAACGGACTTGTTTTCATCATTTGACAGAGACCGTTCGAGTCCGATCCACATCGATTTCCCCCAGCGTGCACCATGTGACGCGTAGAACGTCCTCAAAAGCCCCCCCCCCCCGACTGTCGCCGTTGCCAGGACAACCTGGGCGGGAACAGCCGCACGGCGATGGTGGCCACGGTGAGCCCCTCCGCCGACAACTACGAGGAGACGCTGTCGACGCTGCGCTACGCCGACCGCGCCAAGCGCATCGTCAACCACGCCGTCGTCAACGAGGACCCCAACGCCCGCATCATCCGCGAGCTGCGCGACGAGGTGGACAAGCTGAGGGGCCAGCTCAACCAGGCCGAGGTGAGCGCGGCGGGGCCCGGGAGGGAGCGGAAACCCCCAGCGACGCCATGAGACGTGCGTCGGGGGGGTCACAACACGGGGGGTTAAAGTAGATTAACACGTAGTAGGAAGCTTTCGCAACCGTTATTATCCATGTTTAAGTATTTTTTTTGGGTTGGATCGCGTGAATATAAATGTGTCGGTAAACCCGCCACCATCCGACGCAGCCAATTAGTAAGGTTTGTCACGTAAACAGAACATGCCAATTAGTTACCAGTTCAGCGCACACCGGCATGTCGGAGAGTAAACCCACAACAAGCTGGTTGTAATCACTAAAATGTCGTACTCGAATTGTAAATGTTGTAGGTTTTACTCTCCAACACACCGGTGTGCCGTACTAGTAATTAATTGGCGCGTTTTGTTACGTGACAAACCTTACTAAATGGCTATGTCGGTGGTGGGCGATGTAATGACACATTTACATCTAAGCGATCTAACCCAACAAACCTTTATTATGGTTAAAGAAGAGTTCAAAGTTCACTGTGGGCGCAGTGCTGTTGTGCATGCATGGGGGAACATGCCGGAGGATACATTGCCACATCGATTGAGCAATTGTCATTCGAATGACTGATAGAAACAAATTAGCCATGCGTACGAGCGGATTACGTAACGCTTTTTAACAAGCATTTTTATTTTATTACAGACATTTAATTAGAAGAGAACTACACAGCAATGTGATGCCATCGTAAGGCACTTTGAGTTGCTGAGGCATTTCAGGTCCATTTAAATGCAAAGCCTTCTCCTTTTTCATTATTTTATTAGCAGTATAGGAAAATGCATTTTGATATTTTCAAAAAGTCTGCTTTCTCTGGTTTGTATCGCCAAGTTTTGCTATCAATTTGGCCCGATTTCAAGAGGGTAAATTTGTAGTTTTTTCCCGGCCACTCCACCTCCTCACACGGCGTGCCGGCCTTCACAGGCACTTGCTGACAGCGTAGGCCCCGACAGCCCCTGTTAGGCCACACAGGGGGTCATTGTCACGGCATCTCACAGTGGTGTCTCAGGGTGTCGTTCTCATGGTGTCGTTCTCACGGTGTCATTCTCTACAGTGTCTTCTCCCGGCGTCTATGTGTGCCTCCCTCCACCACAGTCAATGAAGGCCCCGGAGCTGCAGGACAGGCTGCAGGAGAGCGAGAAGCTGATGAAGGAGATGACCGTCACTTGGGAGCAGAAGCTGCGCAAAACCGAGGAGGTTGCACTGGTGTGTATGTGTGTGTATGCTGAACTTTTTTCGCACCGTACATAGCCAACCGTGCTCATCGCAGGTACAGGGAAGGGCAGCAAGTTTTCAACCTAGATTTGAAAGTGCATAGCTCGCACATCAACCATGATGAATCCACCGCTGGATGAAGGCTGCCGTGTCTGTGCGGGTACATGAGTGTATTTGAGTGTGTGTATATTTACGTGCCTCAAGTAGTATCTGGTGCAGACAAAGGCTGCTGGGAATGGTGTTGGCCACCCACCCCCTTGTGTGCCGTGACGGCCTTCATAGGTGCCCCCTAACAAAGTCTGTTTAGGTTATACAGAGGGGGGTTTTTGAGCTTTGTATTAAAATTCACCCACGGTGAGAAGCACAGTTGGCGCATCTGCCAGTCATCTCAGTCAGTCAGCCCATGGCAGCTGGGTCTGTTCTGTGACTTCCTGCCAGCAGCGAGTCTTCGACACTTCACGTGGCCTAAAAAGTGCACCAAGTATGGCACAAGCGCCGTGTTGACGCCACCGCCAATTAGTGGTGAATGGCGGTTGTTGTATTTTAATGTGTCTGCGTGTACATGTGCTGTAACCCCTTGCCACCAACGATCAATTGACGCCCGCCTGGGGGACCTTTGCCTTTTGCGCTTTTGAAGGAACGGCAGAGGCAGCTGGAGAGCCTTGGAATCTCTCTGGCGTCCTCGGGCATCAAGGTGGGCGATGACAAGAGCTTCCTGGTCAACCTCAACGCAGACCCGGCGCTCAACGAGCTGCTCGTCTACTACCTGAAGGTGGCAGTTGCACGCTGTCCCCCCGCCTGTGACCACATCCAACTATGTGTCGGACCACCTCGGTGTGCACACCTATCGCACAACATCATGGGACCTTTTTCATACCTATCACGCAATTGCCCGCAGTTGCACACTCACGTCTCGGCAAAACGGGCCAAACACGTGGCCCGTTGTTCGTGATGGAGACTTCGATTGGTGTGTTCCACGTGATTTGGTAAATAGGCATGCTCACAATCCCAAAGGCAAATTGACGTATCTTTGTGTTCATCTTGCGCGGGCCCTGTGTTTCTTTTTTCGTTTCCTGGCAGCCGTAGTGCAACGGTTAGCGCGCTGCGCTACAAACCCGGCGACCCAAGTTCTATTCCCACTCACACCAAACACCAGTGACTATTATCTGAACCGGGCCTGAGCCTCTTCCCCGAGGTCGACTCAACAAAAATGAGTACCTGATGTGTAGTAAACATCGCCACTGGGGAGACAAAGTCGGTCGGACGTGGTGCTGGTCACTCACCCCCTCGTGTACCATCCCGGCCTTCATAGGTGCTCGCTAAAAGCACTTGCCCCTACATTCTGTTAAGGCTACACGGGGGATCTTTGTCTTTGTGTGTGTGCGTGCGTGCGTGCGCACGTGAGCAGGAGCACACCCTGGTGGGGGCGGACGACTCGCAGGACGTGCAGCTGTGTGGCCTGGGCATCCTGGCGCAGCACTGCACCATCACCATGGACGGCGAGGGCACGGTCACCCTGACCCCGCGGGAGGGGGCACGGTACCACGCCCACTCACCCCCTCGCTCGCCTCCTCGCTCATCCCCTAGCTCGCTCCCTCGCTCACCCCCCCCTGCTCGCCTCCCCGCTCGCACCCCCGCTCGCCCCCCCACTCATCCCCCCGCTCGCCAAGCTCTCACAGTCGCGCTTTATTCATGAACCTCTTAACTCTTATCCATTAGCACTGCTGATTGTGATGTTTGTTTATGGATGCTTGGCGTTTTGGGCCTGTGGGCCTGTGCTCAGCATCTGTTAAAAACACACACACACCACGTGCAGTATGCGACAGACACCCACCCGAGCGTGGCTAGCCCAGTCACTTTCCTTTCCAGAAGTTACATATTACATATCTCGTATAACCGTATCTAACAATTCAAAGCTCAATTCACCTTCTTTACCTGTGCCTCACTTAAATTGGTCCTGTTGTTTTTTGTGCGTGCGCTTTGTGTCGCTGGGCCAGGACGTGTGTGAACGGTGCCGCTGTGACAGGCGCCCACAAAGCTGTGGCACGGGGACCGCATCCTTTGGGGCAACAACCACTTCTTCAGGTGCTGCTCAGTTATCATCATCATCGTCGTTTTCATCATCGTTTTAATGACTACAGACACATACTGCAATCTCAGAGCCATGCAGAAAATTCATCTCGTTTGCAAAAAGAATCATGAAGTCATTGGATTAGGCTTTACATGGATACTGTAGTTTCATGCTCATTTCAACAAAATGTCGATCCCAAAGAATTGTGATACTGGGTTGGCCAGTAGTCTTGAATATGAAAGTGAGTGAGGTTTAACCGCTGACATGACTGTCCGGGTATCAGAAGTGGTGGAAATTCCCAGCTCCTGTGCCGGGAGTCAGTCTGCGAGTAAAGCAGCCGCTCTTGGCTTCCCACAATGTGGGCATTCATTACCTCGATCCCCCCAAACCCCCAAGTCAACGTGCAGCTTCTTCTGTCGGCGGCTGAGCTCGTACACATTGGTTGAACGCGACTGCTCTCATCAAAGCCAGGTGCTTCAGTGTGTGCCGTGCTGTGGGACAAATCGTGCAGTCTGTGTTGTTTGTCAATGGTTTCAGTCAAATTATTGAGCTCAATTGGTTGAATTTCCTCAGTTGAAAATGGCATCGTGAGTTGCGCCCTCTCGCGCTGTGAAACCCGCCTGCGTTTTTGTAAATACTCAGCACCTTGAGTAACTTGTAGAAAGCTGCTTTATGATTGTGATGTATTTTTAGTTGTTATTATTAACTCAAAAGAAAAAATGCCAGGATGACGACGCTGTTGAACATATTCTGCCAGGTATCTCCGCTCCTGTTATCAACTGCACTGGAAAACCTGATGGCACCATCCAGACACATGAATACATCCAGCACCTCTGATTAGCACGGTTGGCTACGTACGGTGCGAAATAAATTCTACATACATACATGCAACTCGAACCCAGGCTTCTTTAACTGGCCACTGTAAACGTCGCATGGACTGATAGGGCCACGTGACACCGTGTGTCACTTGTACAGCTGTTATGATGTCACATGGCATCGTTACGTCGTAACAACTTGCTTCCAGGTCTCTGATTTATATCGCTTTATCTCTGTTCCGTCTCACTGGTCTGTATCTCTTGTCTACAGCTCTCGCGTCTCTATCCCTTGTTTATTTCTCTCTCATCTCACTATAACTTGTTTCCCTTGACAAATACAAACCTACTCTTGGTTTTTTTGGTAAAGTCACATAACGGTAAAGTTAAAAATAAAACAAATACATTAAATCACGACGTTTCGGAGGCAACACAAGCGTCCGTCTTCAGGTGGAACCGTCACAGCAAAATTACTGTATCAAGTGCTGTGACGGTGCCATTTGAAGACGGAGGCTTTGTGTGCCTCCGAAACGTCGTGATTTAATGTATTTGTTTTCTTTTTAGCCTACTTGACTTTATTGAAAAAACCAAAGAGTTTGTATCCTTGCAGTCACGAAAGCTTCAAATCTAGAATAAATAAAAACCTATTTCTCTAAAAGAAGAAAGTTACATAGCTCTTTTTTAGAAGACTTATCTCGTGGAAATGTATATCAGCCAAACACTCTAAAACGCATGTTTTTTAAATTGTGGAGGGAAAACCAGAGTACCAGGAGAAAAATCCAACCATGGAGAGAGCGACACGCAAACTCCAAATAGAGAGCACGTGTCAGGGTTGGGATCGAACCCACGACCTCCTGCAAGCGAGGCGAGGTAGTTAACATCTCGCCAGCGCGAGCCGCATCTCTTGGCAATCCGTAGCTCGGCAGGCCACTCCAGGGGCCTTGTTGTGCTCCATCTGGCCTGCGGGTCGCCTGTTGAGAAGACCCTGACCCCGACCTTGACCCCCAACCCGTCGGGCTTTGCGCGCACTCGTGCAGGGTGAACCTGCCGCGGTGCCACCGTGAGCGGAGAGCCGCGAGTCCCACAGCGACGGGCTTTCCCGGCTGGAGTGGAGAGGCGGCTCCTGGGAAAGGCCAAGAACCGGAGGGGTGGGAGGACCCGGCGGAGGGTCGAGGGCAGGCCCAGGACTCGCCCGAACCCCCCTGCACCTTCGAGTTTGCTCAGATGGAGGTGATCGCGCAGACTCCGACGTCGAGCAGCGGTGAGTTTGTCGGCACGAGCGGTGCCCGCTGCACGCACGCTCACAAGCACGCACGCACACACGCGCCCAAATACACGTTTAGGAATTCCCTCCCCATTGTCTCTTTTTTTTTCCCCCAAGCTCTTACATTTTTTTTTCTATTCGAAACGTTGACGGTGCTGCTTGTTGCTTGGCCACATGACCTTTTGGGCATTTGGGCCCGTGGTGAGCAACTGTGTATAAAAAAATTAAATATAAAAGTAAACATCTACACATACGCAGACTCACACATGTAGATGCACGAATGTATGATAAAGACAAAGATCCCCCGTTTAGCCATAGCATGCTTTTGGAGCACATGCTGTTAGTGAGCACCTGCCGGCAAGGTACCAGAGAGGGTGGGTGGCCAGCGCCCCGCCCGACAGCCTTTGTCTTCCAGTTTCAACGTTTACGCACCGCACCACATACTCATTTGAGGCTGAGCTGACATCGGAGATGACCCAGGACAGGTTCAGATAATCGTCACCGCTATTGGCCATCATTGGGAATTGAACTCGGGTCACCGGGCGTCTGGCACAGCACGCTAACTGCTACACTACCGCTATTTGAATATACATTCATGTATGTATGTATATATTATCTTAGATACATATAGTCACACAAAGCAACCGCCATTCGCCATGATCATCATCATCACACTCGCTGCGGGGCTCGAGTCTTCACGAGCGGCAGTTGAGCAGCGCTGGCCGTGCGTCCCCGGCAGCGCGCGTGGAGGTGGAGAGCGTGGTGCGCACGCTGGAGCGCCAGTACGAGCAGGACAAGGAGGCAGCGCTGCTCGAGCAGAGAGCCATGTACGAGACGGAGCTGCGCTCGCTGCGGGAGGCACTGGCGCCTGAGAGGCACGCGGGGCCCGGCGCGCGCCACGGGCCCTCCCCGCGCCTCTCCATGCTGCCCAGCACGCAGCACCGCCTCAGCCTGTGGGCCCAGGAGAGGTGAGGTGCCGTCGCCACGCAGCCTGTCGGCGGAGGACGTACGCACCTTGTACGTTCCCTCGCTGAATATTTGAGTTTTCCCCCAGGAATTCATGTTTCCCCCCCCCCCCAAGAAGCAACCTTCACCTGCCTCCCTGCCCTCTTTTCCTATTTCCTTCCCCCTTGAAATAGTTTGTGCCCCTGATCTTCGCCCCTGCCGTGGTAGGGCAGGGAGCCCAGGTGCTCTCGCTCGTCCCTTCCCTAATCACGAGGGTGCAGTGACTTGCTATGTCAATCGCAAAACTTGTTACACGCCGTCTCGCCCACCCTTTGATGTCCCCACCGTGTCCCTTGGCTCTTGAAAAATAATAAATAAATGCTTATACAGTAGACTCCAGATTACCCGCGTGAATGATGGGGAGGACGGCCGCGGATAATTCAAAATCGTGGATAATCCCAAAATATAATTTTTCCGTGGATTTCAATTCCAAAAACTGCTAATATAAGGGTATCAGTTACGTTTAAGTTTCTCTGCGATCGCAGTTTCATTAATTAAAACTCACACAATAAATGGGTGGATAAATCACTCAAAATGAAGCACAACTGACGATTTCGATTGTTACTCTTTCAATCGTTCGAACGCATACTAACGATCGACCGATCAATGCGCGTGCTGAGTGATGACACTTTCTTGCTCCCGCGCAGAATACTCAGTCCACTAAATGGATGATAGCAGAGCCACGCCAATCAACATCAATCAAACTCAGCCCACTGTTGTAAAGATATGCAACTACTGTCCTGTAGAGGCAATCACATGGATTTCTGATTAACTGGAGCACATATTTTTGTTCGGTTTAAGCACATGACTTGTAATAAACATTTCCCAGAATAACAATTATTAATTTAGGCTCAAGAGAAAATCCATGAGGTATTCATTTATATCAAAATCTCAGGTGCGCGGTTAATTCGCAAATCGGATAAACCGCACGCGGATAATCGAGAGTCTACTATTTTATATTTAAAAATGAATCAATCTTCGGGACGGTTGGTTTCCCGACTAAACGTTTCCGACCCTCTTGTCTTTTTGTGACTCCCCGAAACCTTTCGCTTTCCTGCGCCAGGGATGAGCAGTTCAGGCAGAGCCTGGCGCGACTGCGTGAGCAGATCGTGCGTGCCGACGCCCTGGTGTGGGAGGCGAACCTGCTGAGCGAGGAGATGAGCAGATGCACCGACTTCCAGGTGACGCTGCAGATTCCCGCCGGCAGCCTTCGTGCCCACAGCAAGGTGAGCCCCGCACGTGGCGGCACCGGCGCGCTGTCACTCGCGACGGGGCGGGGGGCGGCCCCTGAAGATGCTCGGTGCACCAGGGTGTCGCGGTGGCGAGATGTTAACCACCTCGCCTGGTATACAGGAGGTTGTGGGTTCGAACCCTGACGCCTGCTGTACATTGGAGTTTGCATGTCTCTCTCCCCGTGATCGCGTGGATTTTTCTCCGGGTCCTCCGGTTTTTCCCTCCACATTTAGAGAAACATGCATTTAGAGTATTTGGCTGCTATACATTTCCGCGTGATAAGCCAATTCGTTGAACTATCATTTATGGCCACGTTACTTCTGAAACAGAGCTACATAGCTCATTGGTCCTTACCTAGTAAAAGAAACATAGCTTCATAAAATATTTGCATAGTCTTAGTCTGGAACTCTCTCCCACTGGACACAATCAGCGACCAAACACCATCGCACCTTCTAGCAGCAGTTCAAGGCTCACTTGTTCATGCTGGCCTATGAGGGACTTTGAGCTCAGGCTCTGCGAGTCCTCGATTGAACGTTGCGTCAAATTCGCGAAGCGATATTGGAGTATCGGCGTGACGTGGTGCCATCTACCGTGGTCTGCGCGGATGAAGATTCTGTTAGCGGCGAACGTCAAATAGGCTGCAGCAAACAGCGCGAGTACAAAGTATGATGCGACAAAATAACGTGCGGCACAGACAAGAAGTTGGGGGTCAATGTCCGCAGTGGACTGCGACCCTCAAAGGAATGGCGCCACCCCCCCCCCATCCGTGGTGCCCCCCCCACCCACATGAACCGTGGATTAAACAACTTACTCGAGACGCCGGTGTACGGCAGCAAGAGCAGTTCAGGCGAACGCTGTCGCAAGAGGTCACACGTTTGGCGCAACGGTCCTTCGCCGACGCAGCACGATCAATTAAGTTTGAGGAGGCGGACAAAGACCGCTCACGGAGCAGACGTTGTGCCGTGCGGTGTGGCTGACGTGTGCGCCGGGTGCAGCGCGGCATGCTGGTGAGCGAGCCGGCGGTGCAGGTGCGCCGGCAGGGGCAGGGCACGCAGCTGTGGTCGCTGGAGAAGCTGGAGAATCGGCTCGTGGTGATGCGGGATCTCTACCAGAACTGGAAGCAGAGCAACTACGACCCATTGGTGACCCGACACGCACGCACGTACACATGGTACACGTACACATGGTACACGTACACACGTACGCACGCACGCACTGCACACCAGGCTGCACTTCCCTGCAGCAGTAAAAATGTTTCCTGCATTGAAAATTATTTAACTGGATAAAAGCACACTCCGTCTGTGAAACACAGCCACCTTCGTGATAGCCTTGCGGAATAAGCTTGCCGCGAATACCTACTTACCTGTGTTCAAGTACGTGGTGTCCTGTGGTGCGCACAACGTCTGTGCACCGACATCTGATAGCATCCACCGTGCCCACCTGCTCGTATATCTTCACAGTGAGTGGGGCATGGCACCACCTTCTCCCCATCACGTGGCCACACCTGCCTGGGTGATTCCAACAGCACCGTCCCCAGCCATCGCTCGGGCCAGCAGGGACGATTGGGTGCTCCTTGTGCATATTGGCCCATTCCGGGTCCGTGGGCGTCACCGGTGCCGTTTAGTATCTGAACCTGGCACGGGGGGGGGGGGCCCTTGAGGAGTAAAAGCGACATCACCCCGTACTGCGCAACTTCAGCTACCTTCATGATACTCTTCATGATAGCGTTTATACACCTTCATGATAGCCTCGCCCGATAAGAATGGCGCCAATACCTCCTACCACGCCGAGATTTTTAGTATCTGAACCCGGCACTGGGGGGCCCTTTGTAGATCGACTCGGCCTCCAGTGGACACCGGCTGCTCCGGTGGTATACACATTAGCTCGTATGGTAGCGCCGGACGGTGGCCCGGCGCACGGTGCTGGTCACGCACCAGTGCGTGCAGCGGTAGGTTCGCGCGCCGGCCGCCTGTCGCCGTGGTAACGCTGCTCCCCGGCTCCTCCTCCTCCTCCGCCGCTGCCGTCCTCAGGGCGCGGGGGTGCGCGGCGCGGACGACCCCTTCTTCGAGGCGCAGGTGGAGCACGACCTCATCGGCGTGGCCAACCTCTTCCTGGAGAGCCTGATGCACGACGTGCGGCTCGCCTACGCCGCGCCCATCATCAACCAGCAGGGCGAGGCGAGTGGCCGCGTGCGCGTCAGCCCCCGGGACGCGAGCCTCCGTCGTTGTCGTCGTCATCGTCAGCCTTCGTCAGTTGGCCGGCTGCTGCGTGCAGGCCTTCCCAAGATGTTAACTACCTCGCCTGGTTTACAGGAGATCGTGGGTTCGATCTTGACCCTGATGCCTGTATATTTGGAGGTTGCATGTCTCCCTCCCCGTGGTCGTGTGGATTTTTCTCCGGGGCCCCTGGTTTTTCCCCTCCACATTTCGAAACGTGCGATACATTTTCATACGATAAGCCACTTCGTTGAGCTACCATTTGTGGGCAGGTCACTTCTGATGAAGAGCTACGTAGCCGAGTGAGCCTTACTTGGTAGGATAAAAAAAAACTGTTTAGTTTAATATCTCACAGTCGTGCGATGTAGCGATCCTCATAGCTCCTGCACACGAGCTGATTTCATTGCTCCATCTCCGTGGTGGAGGTCTTCTCGGGCGCGTCCCCTCCTCTGTCTGCCACTCTGGCGTTGTGCTCGCTCATGGGCCTATGAGTGACTTGTCTGGACCAAGCCCGCTCTGAGTCGATGTGATGTTCTCTAACCCCATACATCCCTCTTTCTGTCTCTCAATGCTGCTCTGCGCACGTGGTTATTTTTATTACGTATTTTTCACCAATGTCATATTCATGATCTATGTGTCATTGCCGGCAATGTGCACAGATTATAATCTTTACTTTGTATATATATATTGGTAAGTTGCTTTTCATGATCGAGTTGGACTTTCCAAAAGCCCTCCAACCTCATTAATTCATCGTTTTGATCTTGGTCCACCTTCAAATTAAGAACGAGCGTGGTCAGGACAGCTTCAATAGTTGTCACAAGTACGCATGATCACACAGTACACATAATCTGTTGCGTTTTCCGGTTGTGTGTCAGAAAAACGTGTGGTACATGACTTTAGTGTTGTCATTATAACATCAAATATGAATGGAAACGGGAAGAGTAAGGAAAAAAACCTTAATTTTGTTACCTGATTGACATCTTGAGAACGGATTAAATACAAGTTAGAAAACAATGATGCATGCGTTTGGATTATGGAGCGGGATGCATTTGTCTTTTATCAACGGTGCTTTTTGTTCTGGTGGATGTCTCCATGTGTTGGACAAAACAACCCTTTGATCCTAGATTTGAAGCTTTCGTGACTACGTTTTTGTTCTGGCCCCTCCTGTTATGAACACACGGACCGGGCCACTGCCTAAATGCTTTCACCGTTATTCAGAAAGCATTGAAAGTCGAGGAAAGTGTGAAATATCTCGCAACGCCTCCTTCCCCCCGGTTCACTCCCCCCTCGTGCAACAGAATGCTGTGGTTCCCCCCCTCCCGTGCGGAGACAATGCTCTCTGGGGACATTCCATCTCTCGCTGGCCCTGCCCCAGCTGCTCTTGAGTCCTGTCCACTCCGGTGCATCCAGCCATGCAGAATGCGTTCCACGAGTGGCCGAATGCATTGAGACGAATGGCGGGGGAATGTTTTGTACTTCTACTCCCCGCCACCGCGTCTGTCACGCTGTCACACGGCGGCAGAAGAATGGTTTCCGTCGTGACATGAATCGCGGGCCTTTGACTCTTGAGGCTTTGTGTGTCTGTGCGTGTGTGCGGAGTGGTGACGCGGTGGTTAGCGCGCTGCGCTGCTAACCTGCCAACCCGAGTTCGATTCCCGCTCAAGGCCAACGCCAGTGACGATTATCTGAACCGGTCCTGGACCTCTCCTAGGTCGACTCAGCCTTAAATGAGTACCTGGTGCAGTGAGTAAACATCGCCACTGCGGAGATAAAGGTGGCTGGGCGTGGTGTTGGCCACACACCCCCTCGTGTGCCGTGCGGGCCTTCATAGGTGCTCGCTGACAACACTTTGCCCCAACAATCTGTTAAGGCTACACGGGGGATCGTTGTCTTTGTGTACGGCGCGGGGCACAGGTCGCAGGCCGCCTGCACATGGAGCTGCAGCGGGTGAGCGGGCCGGACCCTGAACGCATGGCAGGCGGGGATGACCCCTCGGATGAGTCGGATGGCAGCAGCGACAGCGAGGACGCCGGCTTTATCCGCCAGCTTGTCTTCAAGGTGCGCTCCCGCGAGGGCCACTCGGCTCAGGGGAGTGGCCGTGCGGCTCCGAGGTCGCATCGCTGAGCTTTCAACCGCTGACATCCGCTGACATCTCCCCCCCCCCCCGGGTTGAAATGTGGGATGCTGCCTGTGATTAAACTGGGATGCTGAAACTTATTGAGCTAAACTCAACTATCTAGTTAAACGCTCGTGCACGTCGGCGCTTGCACGCGCATGTGAGCGCCAATGCGGGTGCGGTACGTGTACAGAGAGATGCGCTGGCCCGCACACCAACGTTACTGTACATGGCTACACCTAAGCAGGGCCATCCAAAGGTTTTTGAAGGCCCGGGGCAAAATGGCAAATATAATGAAAAACTTTTGATTTTACCAGGTAAGGCCCACTGAGCTGGATAGCTCTTTTTCAGAAGCGCACCTGGCCACAAATGATAGCTCAACAAAGCGGCTTATCACGTGGATATTTTATAGCAGCCAAATACTCTAAACGCATGTTTCTTCTAAATGTGGAGCGAAAAATTCACGTGGCCACGCAGAGAAACACACAAACTCCAAATATACAGCAGGCGTGAGGGTCGGGATGGAACCCACGACCTCCCCCTGCATACCAGGCGAGGCAGTCAATGTCTCGCCACCGTGGCACCGGTGGCAAGTTGATAGTCTCAGCCTCGCCGCCAGTGACTACACAAACGAACATTACATTCAATTTAGTCGCCTGCATAATTTGGACAAATTAAAAATACATTTCGGTTTGACCATCGAGCGATGAACGAGAGTGTTTGTGGCAGGGCGAATGGGAAAGTGGTGCCCCCTAGTGTTTGTGTTTTGTATGTGTGGGCGTGCGGGCGTGCGGGTGCTGTAGGTGCGCATCAAGGAGGCGGTGGGGCTGCCGGCCGAGCTGGCTCACTTCGTGTTCTGCCAGTACTCGGTGTGGGGCCACAAGCAGGTCGTGACGGTGCCGCCCCAGATCAACCCCGACTCTCCGCCCTCCGTGACCTGCTCAGGCCCGGCCACGGTCCGCTTCGACCACACTCAGGTGTGTGCCTGTGTGTGTGTCTACGTGTGTGTGTCTACGTGTGTGTGTATATGTGTCTACGTGTGTATGTGTCTACGTGTGTGTGTGCCTGTGTGTTTCTACGTGTGTGTGTATGTGTGTGTATGTGTGTGTGTGTCTACATGTGTGTGTGTGTCTACGTGTGTGTGTGTGTCTACGTGTGTGTGTCTACGTGTGTGTGTGTATGTGTGTGTGTGTCTACGTGTGTGTGTCTTCTACGTGTGTGTGTATATGTGTCTACGTGTGTGTGTGCCTGTGTGTGTGTTTCTACGTGTGTGTGTATGTGTGTCTACTTGTGTGTCTACATATGTGTGTGCCTGTGTGTGTGTATGTGTGTGTGTGTCTACGTGTGTGTGTGTCTACGTGTGTGTGTGTCTACGTGTGTGTGTCTACGTGTGTGTGTGTCTACGTGTGTGTGCCTGTGTCTACGTGTGTATGTGTGTGTGTGTACATTGTTGTGTGGGGAGCGGCAGTGTAACGGTCAGCGCTACACTGCGCTACGAACCTGGCGTCCTGAGTGAGATTCCCGCTCACGGCCAACACCGGTGACGATTATCTGAACCGGTCCTGAGCCTCCCCTAGGACGACTCAACCTCAAATTGGTACCTGGTGCGGTGTGTAAACATCGCCACTGTGGAGACAAAGGCCCCTACAGTCTGTTCAGGATTCACGGGGGATCTTTGTACATTGTCGTGGTAAGCGCAACGCGCTACCGGTGACACGAGTTCAATTCCTGCTCACGCCCAACATTGGCGACGAATGCCTGAACCTGTCCTGGGCTTTCCCTGTGTCGACTCAGCCTTCAATGAGTACCTGGTGTGCCGTGTTAAACATCTGCTCTTGGGATACAAAGGCAGTCTGGTATGGTGCCACCCACGCCCTCATGTGCCGTGCCGACCTTTAATAGGTGCTGGTTAACAGCACCTGGCTCAAGAGTATGTTCAGACGACATGGGGTGTCTCTGTCACGTCTTGTACGCGTGTGCATGTACAGGCAACGGTGCAAATGTGAGCGTAGAAGCGCCGCTATGGGACCTGGTTAGCCTGCAGCAGCCCGCGGTCACTGCCAGTTTCCCCCCTGCGGAATCACCGTAGCCTAGGAGTAGGAACCGTTTAGACAATTGCCGGTGCACAAGTGGCGTGCCAGCGTGCCGGCGGCACATTCGCGGCACCGTGTGTACGATAGGGGGACCCGTTTGTGCCGCACGGTGACCGACAGGCACCCACGCGTCATCCACAGGTGCTGCGGAGCTGCGTCTTGGCCAGATGAGGGCAGTGCTGCACCATCCATCGCTGTACTAAAAATGCTATGCTCCCACCCGCCTTCACCAATCTGCACTGACCAGGGTGGTGAAGTACGGTCAAAGAACCCCCATGTTTCGCACGACGGGGGAGTCTGTGCGCTCAAGCTGCACCTAGCCTGCACCAAGTGCCGTGGCTTCGCCAACCCGAAGTGCAAATGGTGGCTGGCGTTGTGTCGTGTGTTTGTTTGTGTTGACGCATACGAGTATGTGTTTTTCAGTGAGTGTATGTTTACTTGCGAGCGGCGGTGCGGTGTTGAGCGCACTCCGCTACGACGCCCTGCGATCCGAGTTCAGTTCCCACTTTCGCAGACAAAATTGGTGACTAAATATGCGAACTGGTTCTCAGCCACCTTCTCAAACTCAGCTTGGCTGGAGCAGTGCCTTAAACATCAGCACTGGGGAGACGAAGGCTATCAAGCGTGGTGCTGCTCACCCAGCCCCTCGTGTGCCGTGACGGCCATCGCGGGTGCTCGTTTACAGCACTTGCCTCAAACATCTGTGTGTATGTATGTTGAACCGTTTGTCGCACCGCACGTAGCCAACCGTGCTATTCGGAAGCCTTTACACGATGAGCATCTTGTCTCTTTACCTTCGCTGCGCGCGCATTCGCCATGCAGGAGTTCTCGCTGCCAGTGTCGGAGGAGCTGCAGGACGTGCTCACGGAGGAGGCGCTCTCCGTGGACGTTTGGGGCCACCGGCTCGGCGCCAGCCACATTGGCCACGAGGTGCCCCAGTGGGAGCCCACGGTGCTGCAGGAAAAAACGAGGTCCCTGCAAGACAGGTGAGAAGTGGGTGCACCAGTGTTTTTGGGGAGCGGCAGTGTAGCGGTTAGCGCGCTGCGCTACGTACTTGGCGACCCGAATTTGATTCCCGCTCACGGCCAGCACCAGTGACGATCATCTGGACCGGTCCTGGGCCTTTGCTAGGTCGACTCGGCCTCAAATGAGTACCTGGTGCGGTGTGTAAACGTCGCCACTGGGGAGACAAAGGCGGCCGGGCGTTGTGTTGGCCACCCACCCCCTCGTGTGCCGTGCCGGCCTTCATAGGTGCTCGCTCACAGCACTTGCCTCAACAGTCTGTTCAGGCTACACGGGTGGGGGGGGAGGGTAAGTGTGTGCTGCAAGAGCGTGGCCTCAGAGTGTGCACCTGGCCTGGCACAAGCGCCGTGGTAACGCTTGACGAGGCGAATGGCGGCTGTTTGTTGTTGTTGCTGCTGCTGCAGGAGCTGTGATGCTGACAGGGCAGGCGAGTGCGGGGGAGGGGCGGGGGGTGGCTCCCTGACAAGTCACGTCTATGCTGTGTCACACACAAAGCTCTACGAGCTGGCCTCGTGGCCCCAAACGTCAGAGAGCCGAAGTGGCACCGCTGAGACCATTGGGGTTCCGGTCAGGGTCCAACGTCTCAAACGCTTTGCGGTGTTTGCGTGATCCATCAACCCTGCAAAGTGCAGGATTATTATTATGACTGACGGTTTAAATTGCCCTGCCTGGATGATTTTTTTTATGCAGTTGGGTTGTCTTGGGGCGGGCGGGGGAGGGGGGCATCGTGCAACTCGCAACTCTTGATGAGCATGATTGCATATTGAGTAGGCGCCTGGGATTTGAACCCAGGGTCTCAGCGGCGCTTGATCATTGTTTCCACACACAGCCATCATCAGCCGCCCCCCCCCCCCCCCCCGCCTTGAGCCACCCAGCCACCTCTCACGGTAATGGTTTAAATGGAACCAGCTTTGTACGCCACAACCACCGGGACAAACTGTGGCGGTTTGACAAGTGGAAGTGCCCCCGTGAGAGAGGAGGGGGGGAGGGGCAGTAGGAGGAGGAGGGGGTGGTGCTCACATTGTTGTGCCAGATATTGAAACACCTGCAGGTTCAAATTTCTGCACGGCCGATAAGACCCCACGGGGGGCTCGTTGCAGTTGCGAGCCTTTGGGTGACGAGCAAGGGGGCCGCTCTGTCAGGCCCAGCCGCCTTTAATGAGGGTTGACGCGAACTCACAAGGACCCGCGGCACTGACACCTGTCCCAGGAGCATGGCTTTGTCTGGATATGGAACGCAACCCAGACATGTGGGTTTCGATTACAACAAGTGTGCGTATTGCGCGTCTTTGTGCGTTTGTGTAATGTGCGTATGGGGAGCGGTAGTATAATTGTTCGCGCGCTGTGCTACGAAACCGCCGCCCTGAGTTCGATTCCCGATTACGGACGATACCGGTGGCGGTTATCTGAACAGGTCCAAGTTCTCCCCTAGGTCGACTCGGCCTCAAATGAGTAGCTGGCACGATGTGTAAACATCGCCGCTCGGGAAACAAAGGCGGCTGGGCGTGGTGCTGGCCACCCACCCTTCAGTGTGCGCCGTGTTGGCCTTCATAGGTGCTCACTAACAGCACTTGCCCAAAAAGTATGTTAAGGCCATAGGGGATCTTTGTCTTTTTGTTGGATGTATATGCTGTATATGTGTAATGTATATCTTTGTGAATGGTATTTGTGTACTCTTCATGCAAAACGTGTTGCATGTGTTTGTGATGTCTTTTGTGCTTGTGATGTACTTTTCGATTTAAAGCTTTCGTGACTGCAGGGATTCATCTTCTTGGTTCTTTTGGTAAAGTCACGTAGAAGGGAAGTAATAAAATAATAAAAATAAAACAATTCTCACCACGTTTCGGCCACAACGCAAGCAGCCGTCCTCAGGTGAAAACCAGGTCTGTCGAGGCGACAGCGTCTGAATGAAACAGCACACGTGCTTGGAGCATATATATAAGCTGGGTTGGAAGGGGGGAAAAGAGCGCCTTGACAAAAGAATATGCATATGGCCTGGCACAAGCGTCGTGGTGACGTCACCGCCACTTAGTGGCGAATGGCGGTTGTTGTTGTTGTGTTTGTGTACCGCATTGTATATTTGTTTACATTCTATTGTGTTTATGTTAAATGTGTAGTGTGCGTGGTATATATATATTAGGAAATGGGTAACGTATTTGATTGCTATACTTTACACTCCTATTGTGTTTTTGTTCTGTTTGTTCTCGTCACGTTCTAACCCGCTCCGACTGGACATCTGTTATAAAGAGCTTTATAGCTCATCGGATTCCTCCAGTATATATAAATATTATGATTCTGCTTGTGGGTTTAATATTTACGGAGGAAGCAGTGGCATGAGAGTAAAAGTGCTAGGATCCTGCCAATCCTTTTATTCCTTGGTTTGATGCACAATGAAATACAGGGACTCCTCTACTTACGAACATTCGACTTACAAGCTTTCAGAGATAGGAACAAACCTGGTCCGTATGTCCAAGTTGCCTGTTCGGATCGAGAGTCGTAAGTTCAACCACCGCGCAATAGATGGCGGTGGTAACATATATAGTTGCAGAACATGAAGAACCAGTGGCATCTACATCTACAGGATATTATACAACTTTCTCCGTGATTAGTGTACATGCCGTACAACATGTTTGGAATCGACAAGAGTGAAGTTGGCTTTACGAACAAATCGACTTACGAACAGACCTCTGGAACCTAACTCGTTCGTAAGTAGAGCGGTCCCTGTAATGCGAGTCAGGTTAATTCAGCGTAAAGTCATTGATTTGTCCTGCGTTATTTATTCACTGAGCCTGGGCCTCGAGACTGTTTTACAGGAGTGTCAAGCATTTGCATGTGTGCAGCCATTTTCATTTTAAGATGTGTGCTGGATCTCAGGCGTGACCCATCACACCTGTGGAGAGACACGCACGAGAGAGACGATGGTGATCATGGGGCCGATCGGGGACCCCCATGGGTCCTCCCTTCTTGCCTGAATGCTCCACTGGGCTCCGTGCAGCTCACCTGCTGCCCTCCCACTACACAATTCCACGATTCCGCCTGATGCCGCGCTCCCGCTAGGAAGCGTATTCTGTTCTGAGAAAGGAATTGGCAGTTTGTGGGCTAGGAGTCGTGACAAGCCCGACGCTCATAAGTGCAGGGCTGTAGAGAGTGGGCAGTTTTCCCTTGAGTCTCAGATCGGAAAAAGCCGAGGGGGCCACAGAATGGACCCTATCTGACATCTTGCCCCGGGCCTCCAAAAAACCTTTTGGTGGCCCTGCTTAGGTGTCACGATGTCGAGCGCGTCAGTGTGCGCGTCGGCGCTTCTTGCTGTACGCGTGTTGCACCCGCGTTGGCGCTCGCGCTCGCGCGCGCTTCGCCGACGGCCGCGTGACACGACGGAGGACGTGCCGCCGCAGGTGGAGCGACGTGACGCGCCGCGTGGAGCTCTGGGTGCAGGTGCAGGAGGTGAGCGAGCAGGGCGACTACGTCCCCGTGGAGGTCCGCGGCGACGCGCACCGGTCCACGGGCGGCGTGTTCGCCCTGCGGCAGGGCCGCTCGCGCCGCGTGCTGGCGCGCGTCAGCCCCGTGCAGGGCTCCGGTAACCTGCCCATCGTGCCCGAGAGCATCCTCTCCGTGTCCGTGGGCTGCATCGAGGCGCGCAGCACCAAGGGCGCCGGCTCGCAGGTGACGATGACGACGCGCCCGGGGCCCGTGTGCTCCCGCCCCGAACGCGCGAGAGCCACAAACCACGGTTTAATTCCACCGTCGACGGCCACGCCCGGGATGCATCCGCGTCGCGGTGCCTAGACAGCGTTGAGTCTGGATAAGTGGGTGGGTGGGTGGGTGAATGCTGTGCGTAGGTCAGGTTGTTGCGGGGCTGTGTCGTGGGCAGCGGTGAGCAGTTCAGCGATTCGGTTGTGTGCATCGCATTGGTCGCTTACCAATGCGATGCACTTTGGGGCAGTTCGAACGTCTCGACAGAATGTAGGGTGACGTTCTGTGAGAGGGGTGTGGGCGGAATAAGCTACGCGGTGGGTAGAAAGAGAGCGATCCGGCACTTCGTTACAGCCAGTAGGCCCTCGAAACAACACCGTGTCCCGGGAGGGGGGAGGGGGCGGCATAATGGGGGGCACTGACTGAACGTATGCAGAGTGACGCTACCTTGCTGCGAGCCGCCTCTCCGCGCTGCGCGAAAACGTCGCTCGCCAGTGCGGTTCCAGCCGAGTAATATCCCGTACAGTTACTGCAGCCACATTGGATTTATTGTGTTCTGGAATTGGTTCGTATGTTTGTTGAACTTCTTTCACACCTAGATTTGAACTTTTCATGACTGCAAGGATGAAAATTTAATTAAATCACAAATTAAATAAAAAATAAAAAATTTGAACATTGCATTCTGACCATAAGTATTGTGGTTAACGCAGACATGATTCCTTGTAAAAGGTTTCAGTTTAGTGTTTTAACATCTTAACACCTGTTTTGTTGCCAGAAAAAAGGGGAAAACCTATTCTCATATTTAATTAAACTGATATGTACGGCACCGCCTCCTCCTCGTCCGCCATGGGCCCACAGCAGCAGAATCTGCTTCTCTCACCCGAGGAGGTTCGGCAGGTGTCGCCGCGCTCCTGCCGCGTGCGCTCCGACCGCCCGCGGCCTCGTCCGCAAGTGCGGCCTCAACACGCGGTGCCGCCAGTGCCTCCCGTCAGCATGCCACCAAGGGCGTTGGCTACCAGAAGCTCGATGGGAGAGGGATGAAAGGCGTCGTTGCTTGCCTCCAACTCTGCGAGCTCGCTGTCGCCACCGCTCTTAATCTGAGTTTTAAATCAACGATGTGAGATGAGAGAAATAAAACTGATATACCAGGGCACCCCAGCCCTGATTGCGACCGGTATTTTGAGACATCAGTAGTCGGTGGTTCGAGAGCAAATCGCTCGTTCAGATGGAATGACGGAGCACCCTGCGGTAGTTTTGGCCGTGCTTCTTCTGAGCTCTGCATGATGGAGATCCGGTAACCAGCCTCGATCTTATTGAAGAATAACCCCACACCAGGTCGAACTCAAATACATTGCTAGCGACTGCCTTTCCGACAACACGTGATTTGGCCATTCTGTGCATTCGCGACTTTCCCTTCTTGGCCACAGAGCTATGCGATTATAATGGGTACGTTTACAATTCACATTCCTTTCTCTGGCTGTGGGTTTCATTTATTTCTGTTCTGGTGTCACTCCTGAGATGTCTATGAGGAAACTTGCACTCAAGAGGTCATGCTTTGTGCGTTTTTGTGCCTGTTCACAGAAGGACCGTGAAGACGTGGACAGTTACCAGGTAAGCTTAACACGGAGCAGGCTTTCGCGACCAATATCATCCACAATAGAGGTTTTTTTTGGGTTAAATCGCGTAAATATATAAATGTGTCGTTAAACCCACCACCACCCGACACAGCCAACTAGTAAGGTTTGTCACGTAAACAGAACGTGGCCAATTCGTCACTAGTACAGCACACCGGTGTGTTGGAGAGTGAAGCCACAACATTTACAATCTGACTACGACGCTTCACCAGTAATTATAACTAGCTTCATCGGGCGACAGCCAGATTTGTATTTGTGTTTTCACATTTTGTCAGTTTGGGAAAGGACTTATAATTCCGTGTGTACGTGTGACTATACATGGTTAGTTGTGTGTCTTTTTTCACTGGGTTCATAAACCCAACAGCCTGAGTTCGATTCCTGGCCACGGCAAACGTTGGGGCCGATTATCTGAACGATCCTGAACCCTAACATGGCTCGCCTCGGCGTTAAATGAGTGCCTTGTGCCTTGCGTACTATGTAACTTGCGTACCATGTGTAAGTGTGCCTTGTGTACCATGTGTAAGTGTGCCTTTCATACCATGTGTAAATGTGCCTTGTGTTACTTGTGAAAATGTGCCTTTCATACCATGTGCACATTTGCCTTGCGTACCTTACGTTAATGTCATCACTGGGGAGACAAAGCCGGATTTCATAGCTGCTCGTAAAATTGCACTCGCCCAAACGGTTTGTTGTGGGCTGCACGGGGTCACCCATGTCTTCGCTCACAGGAGGACGGGCTGCTAGCGTTGCGCGAGCGGTGGTCGGAGGCATTGTCAGTGAGACGGGAATACCTGGACGCTGAGATACAGGAGCTCGTCGCTAAACCAGGTATCGCCTCATCACCTGCCCACGACTCCTTTGCTTGTTTCTTTGTGAAACGCCTTCTTGAGGAAACCCATAGACAAGGCGCGCTCCTCGAGCATCCGTACAGAGGCACATTGGCACCTGCCATAATGTGAAATTATTTGTTGAAAAAAAATATATATAATGAACGTGCAAGAGAATGTCGATGTAATTCTTGTCCTTAACTCGTATTATCCAAACACCTCTTAAAACACGAACGTGTAACCTCTGCAGCTCAATTCATGTTGCACACGTTTTAATCGTTGCAGCCACGTCCATCATCACTGCATCTCACATAACCCCATTTTTAATTGCCTTAGGTCAAGGATGAAGAAACTATGGCGCTTGATTTACTTTCACATGCCCCAACGGCCACATGAGGCCTATCCCTTTGAAACAGCCAACAGACGATTCGTATCCGGTTCTTCAAATGATTAACGATTCAGCATGTCGGCGGTAAGCACCGGTGTTGTTACGCTGCCACGCGATCGTGACCTCGCCCAACATGCCACGCTGCCCTTCGTAGACGATCGCGAACCGCACGTTCCCCAGCAGCCCCTGCGGTATATAAACATGTCGGTGTGTGGGGGGCCGCGGTGCGTCGTCGTCGTCGTGTGTGTGCGTGCGCGTGCAGACAAGTCGGAGGTGGAGAAGGAGAGGGAGTCACGGCTCGTGTCCCAGTGGGTCGGCCTCACGGAGGAGCGCAACGCCGTCCTGGTCCCCGCCCCGGGCAGCGGAGTGCCCGGGGCCCCCGCCGAGGGGTGCGTCACCGCTCGGCCTCGCTCTCTGTCCACTGCTGCACGGCCGGAATCCTTCCGCGTCTTTGTCACCATTGGCTCTGGCCCGGCGGCCAGTCTTCGTCGTTCGTCTCGACTGCCGCGCATTCCGCTCGCCTCTTTTCACTGCACATCTCAATATAAGCCACCTTTCTCAGCACCTGCTTTGCGGCTACCCCCAACGTTAGCTTTGATCTATGGCTGTGATCCCTCACATTGACCACGAGGGATTCGACGGTCCCACGGGCTGCATACAGCCCCTGGCTTCATTTGATGCGGCCCGTGGCCATAAAAAATCTACCACTTTGAAGCGATCCACACCGCGATATTTATCCGTCACGGCAAGGGGTCTCTGCCTGCACTAATCGAGCACTCAAGGGGGATTTTTTTTCAACCTGGCAAAAATGCTGTGTTTCTGCTTTCAACGCTGCATGAGGCTACTGGCAGTGCATTAGTGTGTGGCCTTACTAAAGCCGTTTAAAAATCTTATTCGGCCCTCGGTAATGAAAATGTTCCCCACTCCTGCCTTACATGCACTGGCCATGTTCACTGGCTTTGTTTTATAATCGTTGTTTCTTTGTATACGCGGTATAAGTGTTTGTATTTGTGTGAACCTGTCCTGGGTTCAACCCGATTGGATTGTGTGAAAGATCTGGACGGAGTCCCATCCGTGAGCTCCTCCTGCAAGCAACGCTGTATTTCCTGGGTCATGTAGCCCGCATATTCAGCCACTGCATTTTAAAAGCAGATTCTGGCAGGCATAGATGGGGCTAAATGGGCACGGCATGGGCTAGAGAAGAGATGGACTGATGTGGTACAGTGTCAAGATCGACCTCTGTGGAGGAGGTTCGTTAAGGATGCTGCTGCAGAGTTGGAGGCAATCGCCCTCCAGCAACAACAGAGAGCAGAGGAGCGACACTCACAACAATGAGCACAGTGCCTGGCGGATAAAATGCAGAAAGTTGGCACATCGGGGAGCACAGTTGGTGCATCGGCCAGTCATCTCAGTCAGTCAACCGATGGCACCTGGGTCTGTTCCATGACCTGCCAGCGGGGCTTTGACACTTCACATGGGCACCTGGCCTGGCATAGGCGCCGTGGTGACGTCACGGCAAATTTTTTTCCAGTTTTTTTTCAGTTTCATTTATTTGGAATAACCCTGTGAGCCATCCGGCTCTTGATTCGGGTGCAACCGCAAAACACAATAAAATTACAAGATACATTTAAAATTTACTGTACGCAAATTTAAACATCCCCTACAAAAACAATCAAATATTCCAGAAAAATGGCGGTTGTCGTTGTAGTCCAGGGGTTTGCATACACACACGCGCATATTAACTAAACAGCCACAACCTAACACACAACTGAATACATAAACACATTCAGCATCTGGAAATATGTAACCCACGCCAGCTGGGTCTGTCCAGTGACCTCCAGCTGGCCACGTTTTGCCACTGCACATGCGCCTGGCCTGGTGCAAGTACCACGCTGATGGTGGTGAAAGGGGACTCCCATGGTGTTGTTTTTCCTTCGTGAAAGTCAACACTGGCATCCATGAGTGAGCGTTCTTCTCCACAGCACTCCCTACCACGGTGCAGAACATCCAATTATGTGCGTCTCTGTGAAAAAATATTCAGCAGCGCTGGGAAGACAAAGGCGGCAGGGTTTACGTGGTTACTGTACATTCCACACGCAACCCACCTCGTGGTGTGCCGTGCCGGCCTTCATGGGTGCTGCTACTCGTGAACAGCAGCACTTGTCCCAGCAACCTGTTCAGGCTATACGGGTGATCTTTGTCTTTGTCCACTGGTGAATTATAGATATTTATCTCCACCCTGCATGAGTTACCCTGAGGATATTCAGCTTCAAATGAAAACTTGTAGCTGGTGGCGTCACCGTGAGCCACAGGGAGACGGTGGGGGGTCAGGCGCATAGTGCTGACCCCTAAGCCTGTGTGCGTGCGTGTGTGTCGTGCCGGGTGGCTAAAGCACAGCAAGTTGGCACAGTAGGGGGTACAGGTGGTGCATCAGCCAGTCATCTCGGTCGCCTCAGTCAGTCGACCCGTGGCACCTGAGTCTGCCCCGTGACCTCCTGCCAGCGGGCGTTCGACACTTCACGTGGCCTCAAGGTGCACATGGCCTGGCACAAGCGTCGTGTTGATGTCACCGCCACTTAGTAGCGAATGGCGGTTGTTGTTGTCGTGCCAATCATAGCGAGTGTTCACTGAAAACTTTCGCCCAAAATGATATACAACAATAATAATAATCATCGTTTACCATTCCAGCAACAATCTACTGCTGGATGAAGACCTCGGTTGTGCAGGTTGTGTGACCATACTTCACCACGCTGGTCAATGCGGGTTCGTGAAGGGGGAGGGGGGTGGGGGTGCCCATGGCAACCGATGTTAGCCATGGCAGGGAATTGAACTCTGGTCGCTGGGTTCATGGCACAGTGCACACACAACCGTTGCACCACTCAACCACAAACTCTGTGTTTTGGCTATAGGCACTTGTATGCATACGTCCATATCAATGCATATACTATATACATTTATATGTGTGTGTATATGCATCTAGCCTGGCACAAGCGCCGTGGTGACGGTTGTTGTGTGTGTATGGCGTGGTGCTGGCCACCCACCCCCTCGTGCGCCATGCCAGAATTCATCAGTGCTCGCCAACAGCACTTGCCACAACAGTCTGTTAAAGGCTACACGGGGGATCTTTGTGTAATTGTGTATACGGGGATCTCTGTGTAATTGTGTATGTGCATGCGTGTGTCTGTGGTTGTGTACAGGACGCTGGTCCCTGGTATGGAGCAGCACTTCCCTGTGCTCTTCCTGGATCTGAACGGTAAATCTGTGCGCATTGGAGCCTTGCTAGGTGGCCCTGAATGACCAGCTCGGGAGGTGGATAGTATTTGGATCCATACTCTTTTTTTGCCTACTTCAGCAAATTGTTTCTTGCTGTGGTTCTCCCACCTGATGACTGGCACTTGTGTTGCGCCCGAAACGTCGTGATTAAATTTATTTTATTTTATACCTACGTGACTTTACCAAAAAACCAAAGAGTATGGATCCCTGCAGTCACGAAAACTTCAAATCTCGAGTGCTCGGATGGGCCACCACCAAGTGCCTGTTGATCTATAACGGTGGTGGACATTCTCTCGAGCACGTTCCATGCTTTGGCTGCCACTCATTTCTTAATCTTGCCCACCTGCCACTGCCTAATGACGTGTGCTGCTCAATCCTCACGGGCTAAAATTGTGGCATTTTCAACCGAATATATATGTTCTCCTCTTTCCATCAGCGTGATGTCTCGCATCCATCTCTTCTTAATTCTTTGCGCACATTCGCACCTCCGATCAGCGCGGTTGAGTCCCCCCTCTCGCATGTCAACGGAGGTCGGCTTCCTTGCTGCCATTCTCATGCCATTCTCAACTTGAAAACATCGGCTGAAGGGCGGAGCATTCCTTCGAGGTCGTTATTGCGATCGTTAATACTCCTGATGCCTCTAAAGCTGCAGTGGATTAGGCCTACACTGTATAATCCCCATGGGACTTCATCAGCCAGCATTACAATTAATAAGTTGAATCTGAAACCCTTTTAGCCATACAAGGCTATAATACAGCGATCTTTAACTCCAATTAAATGGTTCTGGTTTAATTGGTGACAATAAGTAGTATTATGCCTTAGTTTTCATGCATTCAGCAAAAAAATAATTGTAATCTTACGGCCTGAAATATATTGTTGCAATTACGCAAATATTCCCTATTTCCTAAGTGATCCGTTCTGAATGAACACGAATTCTCTGGGGAACAAATTGTTCCGCCTGTACGCGCGTTGTAAATACAAGCACTGCCTCGACCGCTCCTTGCCGTGCACACCGTGAGAGGTCAAAGAAAGTGTCGCCGTGCTTAAATAAGTTGTGGAAAAAAACCGGACGCGTGCATCGATGGCTTCACACTTCAACACGCGCCGGTTCCTTGCCGTGTTTTTCATTATCGGTAGGGAAGCCATTGGGGGAGCTGTGCGGGGCAAGACCCGTTTGCATATTGGCACGTAGTCATTTTTGCCCTGGTTTGCCTTCAAGTTTGGTTACTTCTTTGATGAAAATTAGTTCCTTTTCAACAGGGTAAGTTTCTAATAGCAACGCAACTTTATACTGAAGTTTAGTTCATATTGGATCATGTTGAATGAGACATATCATGCCCCCCCCCCCGCTCCCCCCGCCACTGTTCTAGATGGACAGAGAGAGATAAAGCATCAGAGTACTCTTTGGTTTTTTCGGTAAAGTCACGTAGGTAAAAAAATAAATGAAAACAACTAAATTAAATCACGACGTTTCAGGTGCAACATAAGCGTCCGTCATCAGTGTTTTGTGCCCGAAACGTCGTGATTTTATTTAGTTTTCATTTATTATTTTTTTACCTACATATCTTTACCGAAAAAACCAAAGAGTATGAATCCTTGCAGTCACGAAAGCTTCAAATCTAGAAGCATCAAAGTGTTAAACCTTCGTTGGAAAGCGTCGATGAGTGTTGGGTGATTTCTTTCGGTATTAGTCGAGTCGACGACATCCCGCGGAATACTAGTCAAGTCCTCGTCTGAGGACTTTGTAAGATCATTGTCCTCAGCTCGCGATTATTCTTTGTTGTCTCGGTCTGCGTCCACGCTCGGTCCCGTTCATTTTGTCTCGTCATTGTCGCGCTTTGGTCCCCCGGCGTTCGTGGTAGTCATCGTCACTCAACCACGTTTGCAAATGTAATTTGAATCTTTCATCCTTGCCCACGTAGTCGTGTCGGTCAATTTCAATGTGCAGCTTTATTGAGAGGCTACTGTGGTCTGGGACTGTTGTTGTTATTTTGCTGCCTTGCCCAAGCTTGCATTTCGTGTTGAGAAATCGGCAGGAATTGAAGTATTTATGCAACTTGTACTCATATACTTTATTAATTGTTATTACATTTATTTATTTCTTATACCTGCTAACCTGTCCTATACTTTGCACTCCAATCGTTTGTTTGTGCTCTTTCTTGTTGCAACTTTCTGACCCGCCCCTACTGGAAATATGTTCATAGCTCATCGTATTCCTCCAGGATAGGATAAATGAATAATTAAAGATTCTGATACTTGATGGTTTTCAACCACGCGTAGTCATTTTTGAATACAACAACTAATAACAAAAGCCTTCATTGACAAATGTTTCCGTCAAGGATTTAATGTACAACATTGGTCAGCGGTGAAAGTCCAGTCAGCGTTTCATATTCATTGAGAGTCTCCACATTTCGCAAAGTGGTACCAATTTTGTTATCCGCTGAGAACCAGCGAACGAGCTGAGACGACCCCTGACCCGGGATTATAACTCATGCCCTCTTGATTGTGAGATGGGCGCTGGGTTTCGGTGCCTCCTGGCCAAAACGGTCTCTTACTTTTGTATTTTCTCTCTCCATGCTGATAACACTGATGTTTACAGTCCATAGAATCGTCTTGCTCCCTCACCTTTCGCGTTCACTTTCCATCGCCAGCCTCAGTGGGTGCTCGCTGTGACATCACAAGTCAAATGGGGCTGAACACTTCGCGCTTTCGCAACCGATATTGATTCATAATAGATTTTTGGATCAGGTCGTGTGAAAAGAACGTGAGTTGTAAACCCTCTTCCACCCAACACAGCCAATTAATAAGGTTGTTAAGTGAACAAACATGCCAATTTGCTCCTGCTTCAGCAGCACCACCACCACCATTATAATAATTTCTGAATATGTATTCACACTGGAGGAATCCGATGAGCTATACATCCTTTTTTTCACAGATGTCCAGTAGAAGCAGGTCAGAATGTCACAACGACAAACAATTTAGATGTATAGGGTGCCCTTAAACAATGGAGGGTTCTCATGACATACAATAGACTCACGCAAGCTGACCCAAAAATTAATTATGGATCAAATGTGGCTCTTTGCAGTTAATTGATTGTCATTATTATTCTGTTCCGGGTAATGTCGGTGGTTTATTGCTGCGTGTGCTGAGCTGTGTTTGATAAAAACACCTATTATCGGAGTTCCTATCATCAATTTTCATTTCAAAAGCGCACCATAAGTAAACCACAGACCTTCCCATCATCCCCCATTATCCCAGCCTCTGGTAAGAGGATGGGACCTAGAACCATCGGTTGTATTATTTCTATCATCTGAGCCTTTTGCGTGGATTAGTCACCGGGAAGAGGTCTCTGAAACACTGCGGTCATCTGATACTTCATGCCAAATTCGAGTAAAATTACACACAAGCGCTGAAACATTCAAAGAGGAAGTGACCCAGAATTAGTGGCACATTCTTCTTGGTATTCGTTGTTTTTTTCCCCCTCTACAATTTGCTCCTCGGATAATATGATCCACGCATAGTGGGGGACCAGTCACGGGGATGCGAGAAGTTCCGCCGTGTGTGATTTACTACAGCGCATGCTCGTGGCTAAATGCTGTGCAAGCCATGCATTTGTTGAACCGCGCGTCGTCCAAACACGCGCGCGTCAAGTCAAGAAGCCGTGCACACGTGGAGCCATGTGTGCGTTTTAATTCCGCGCGTATTCGGCCGCTAGCCCTGTTGCGCATGCTGAGCCCACGCTGTGTAGTGTAGAGGCCGTTGTTAATCGGCGCCTGCGGTTTCGCACAGAGGACTTGAGCTGCGGTGAGGACTTTTCGGAGGAGTCGCTGCCGGGTCTCTCTGCGTTCCTGCCCGGGGAGTACGGCAGCCAGTTCTATTACCTGCCCATCGTGCGCCACGACGACGATCAGGTGGGAGCTCTGCCTCACCTTGTGCACGGGGCTGAGCGCTCACCTGCTGCCACACGCAATAAACATTCACCGGGTGCATTCACAAAGACAAAGATCTCCCGTGTGGCCTTAACCCGCTGTTGTGGAAAGTGCTGTCAGCGAGTCGCACCCATCAAGGCCGGCACGACACACGAGGCGTTGGGTGGCCAGCGCCATGCCTGATAACCTTTGTCTCCCGAGTGGTGATGTTTACACGCCACACCAGGTACTCATTTGAGGCTGATTTGTCATAGGGGAGGCCCAGGACTGGTTCAGATTATCGTCACTGATGTTTCCCGTGAGCGATAATTGACCTCGGGTTGCCGGGTTTGTAGCGGAGCGCGCTAACCGCTTACACTCGCCCTCCCCACACCAGGATGCGTGCACACACACACACAAAACACACACAAAACACACAAAACACACAAAACACACAACACACACAAAACACACCCCCTGCATCGGAAAACATTACTCAACAAAACCCACAAATGCTTCCGACCAAATTACACGGCATGCGCGCAATCTCATCATATCTCGAGAGTTAAGCAGGGTCTAACCTGGACAGCGCTTGGATTTGGCGAGGTTGTTATAGGTGCTAGTGGGGAAGTGCTTTTTTGTGGGGAGCAGAGAGCAGTGCAGCACCAGTGCACTGCAGCACCTCACTCATATGCACCCGCGTCTGTGCTCCCTGCCTTCGCCAACCCACCCACGCCGACTAGAGCGTGGTGTAGTACGGTCAAATAATACCCACGACTCGCACGACATGCGGAGGCCCCTCGCCCGGCAGTGGATTCACGAAGGGATGCGCACGAGCACAGCACCGTGCTGTGCTCGTGCGCTTGCAATGACGCAGAAGTGACGAAGGCGGCGAGTCCTTTTCGAAGTGTAGCTTTTTTTTACTCGGAGTTTGTGTTCCAGTTACTTAAAATGTGACCCAGATCTCTGAGGGGGGCCGTGCCAGGCCGGACACCTATGGAGGGGCCACTTGCCTGGGCTAAAGTATCGGCCCCAATAACTCTGATCGTGTTCATATATGCATCTGTCTTCCTATGGGTTTCTCAACTTCATGGCTTATCACTGTAAATTTCACAAAAAAATTGCATCACCTGTGCTGGCAGCTGTTAAAAAATACAGTCCAGATTGACGGCCTGGGCAAGTACAGTGGGTGAGTGTGGTCACAAGTCTGAATGTGTGCCTCCACCTGGAGCATGCGGGGGCTGTGTGTGTGTGCGCGTGTGTGTGCATGTGTGTGTGCGCGTGTGTGTGCATGTGTGTGTGCGCGTGTGTGTACGCGTGTGTGCGCGTGTGTGTGTGTGTGTGCGTGTGCCTGCAGGTGTTCACCTTGCAGCTTGTGTGCCTTGCTGTCATGATTGTGTTCGTGCGAATGTGTGTATGCAGTTGTGCCTATGTCTATATGTGTATGTTTGTAGGCACAGTCAGGGGGCACAGGTGGTGCATCTGCCAGTCATCTCAGTCAGTCAACCCATGGCACATGGGTCTGTCCCGTGATCTGCTGCCAGCGAGCCTTCGACACTTCACGTGTCTCAAAATGCACATAGCATGGCACAAACGCTGTGGTGACGTCCTCGGCACTTAGTGGCGGCGAATGGCGGTTGTTGTTGTATGCATGTATGGCCTCCTCCTTTGATTGTCGAGTTGTCTAGGTCATTTAGTTGACTTTTCCAGCCGCCGCATGCCCAAGTAGCTTCTGAATGGCACGGACTAGAGAAGTAATAGGCTGATGATATACGGGAGGACTTAAGGCTTATTGAACTTGTCAGAGACTGGTGCCAGCAGTGTCAAGATCGGTCTCTGTGGAGGAGCCTCGTGAAGGACTCTGCTGGGCAATTTGAGGCAGTCGCCCTCCAACAACAACGGAGGGCAGAGGAGCAACGCTTATAACAACGAGCGGAGTGCCGGGCGGTGTAAACGCAGAAAGTTGACACAACTGGGAGTGCAGGTGGTGCATTCGCCAGTGATCTCGCTCAGGAAACCCACGACACCTGCGGCTGTTCTATGACCTGCCAGTGAGCGTTCGACACTTCACTTGGCCTAGCACAAGCGCCGTGATGACATCACCGCCACTTCGTTGGGAATGACACCTGTTGTTGTTATTGTTGTTGTGCGTGCGTGCGTACAACAGGTGCAGGTGGTGGCATCGTGGGACGCGTCCGTGCACGACTCGCCGCACCTTAACCGCGTCACTCCTCCCAACGAGGTCGTTTACGCCATCATCAAGGTGCGGCCGCACCGCACTCCCAGCTCCCCCTCCCAGCCTCCCCACCGTGTGGCCGTCGCAGTAAAATACAACGTGGACTCGCACGACAGCGCCACGTGTCCCTGTGCAGACCAGCGGGACACGGGCGTCCTGGGAATCGGAGACATTTATAATTATTGATACGTAATCGACAGGAAGGGACTGTCATTCAGAGGACATGACGAGGTCTTGAACCTGGACTTGAACGAAGGCAGCAGAGATGGCTGGGGAAAGGTGTTCCAGACTGGGCACATTAGGCAGATAGCTCAGTTTGAATAATAATCATCTTGATTTGAAACTTTCGTGACTGCAGGAATCCATACTCTTTGGTTCTTTCGGTGAAGTCACGTGGGTATAAAATAAAATAAATCACGACGTTTCGGGTGCAACACAAGCGTCTATCATCAGGTGGGAAAGCATGGTCTGCTGTTGAGGCAGACTGTTTTAAAACTGTTTTAAAACAGTGGATGGACGCTTGTGTTGCGCCCGAAACGTGATTTCTTTATTTTATTTTATACCTACGTGACTTTACCGAAAGAACCAAAGAGTAATAATAATAATGCCTTGCAACAATTACGATTTGACAGGAGATGATACGACGCCCTGAGAGGCAGAACCATAAGTCATGAACCTACACTGTCACAATACCCATCACAGCCACAGTACTGTGACTGACGGTTTTGGGTTTATCTCACGAAGACCTGTGGTGTCAGGAACTTGGTTAGAGGACAGCATGGCCCCAGCAGCGATGCACGTGTCAGCAGCGGATTCTCGATGGTGCACGTCTGTGGTGAGAGTTCCAGTGGTGGGTGATGCCTCGAGAAGGTTTCCAATTCATTCAGTGATGAGTACTCAACAGTGGGGGTTTCCTCTCGTGCAGAGCTCTTCACCTCGACTCTCATACGGTTGGATGGAGCGGTTGCACATTTCTTTAGAACTTGCTTTGTGTGTTTAGTTTGTTGTCCTTCCCTAGCACGGATGGCTATGTACGGTGCGAAAGAAGTTCAACATACGTAGAGTGTGAACCAGGCTACCTTAGTTTGATTCCTGAACATGGCTAGCAACAGTGAATTATATCTTTACCAGTCCTGGGCCTTCTCCACCTCTACTAACCGTCACCGAGTATGCGAGGTGAAATACAACCTCTAAGATCGACAAGGCCTTCATCCAGCTGTGGATTGACAAAGGGCTGCGAATGATTACTATTATTATTATTATGAAGGCATGGTTGCTGCATTGAGCGCGTGGTGCGTGGCGCTGGCTGAGCTGACATGTGGCGTTGCGACGCTGTCCCCGTGGCGCAGGTGACGGTGCAGATGAGCGCCCCGTCGAACGTGGAGGTCGTCCTCCGCAAGAGGATCTGCCTCACGGTTGGAGCGAAGCCGGTACGGCTCACACAAAGACAAAGATCCCCCGTGTAGCCTCTACAAGTGCTGTTAGCGAGCACCTATGAAGGCCGGCACGGGGCGCACGAGCTGGTGGATGGCCAACACCACGCCCAGCCACCTTTATCTCCCCAGCGGTGATGTTTACACACCGTGCCAGGTACTCATTTGAGGCTGAGTCTATCTAGGGGAGGCCCATGACCGGCTCAGATAATCGTCACTGGTGTTGGCCGTGAGCGGGAATCGAACTCGGGGCACCGGGGTCGTATTGCGGCACGCTAACTGCTCCACTACCGCTCCCCATACGGCTCACACACACATGCAGACCCGCGGATACGTGGAGAGAGACGCTGCACACACACTCACTTGTGCAGATACATTTACAGTTTCGCAAAGACGAGGTGGATCAGAGGTGTGACTGATCAATTTCCCGTTACAGCGCGGTTACCAATGACCTCACAAAAATAACCCCCATCACATTAAATGTGTTTTTTGCACTGAATTTTTTTGCAAAAAATTCCGATTGTAAGATTTAAAAAAATATTCGTTTCACTGTTATGCGACGAACATTACTCTCCAGGTGGAATAGTGGTGCCGCCCACTGTGTGGACCAGAGGTCACCTGAAGGGCTCTCAGAGGTAGCTCTTTGATATCCATTTGTGTGGGCCATGTTTTAGCATGAAGTGTTGCACTGCTGTGTAAGAGATCCAACTGGATTATTCATCGCACCTCCGATTAGCACGGCTGGCTACGTACGGTGCGAAAGAAGTTGCACATTCATACATCTAGAGACGTGGCACAGTCGGGAAGAGGATACGGTTTAAAATTCACAGGCACAGACTCTCATGCAAATGCATTGACACACACGTGGGCAGACGTATGTGGACTTATGAATACACACATACACGGAGACACACGAGTGCATGTGCAGAACGACACATGAACACACAAGCGTGCAGACCCACCACACTCGTCCATGGAAACTCACGTGCACACGTATCTGTACAAACACACATGGACACGTGGACATGTGCACTCGTAGGCCTGCTCAGACGTGCGTGCCTGTGCACGGACTGCTACACATTGGATATGCATGAATATACATTGACAAAGACAAACATGTCCCGTATAGCCACTAACAGGCTGCTGGGGCAAGTGCTGTGAGTGGGCACCCTTTAAGACTAGTACGGCACACGGAGGGGGGGGGTGGGCCAAGACCACGCCCAGCCACCTTTGTCTCCCGAGTGCTCATGTTTACACACCATACCAGCTGATAGTTTAAGGCCGAGTCGACCAAGAGGAGGCCCAGGACCGTCCTCTCACCAGTGTTGGCCTTGAGCGGTAATTGAACTCGGGTCACGAGGTTTGTAGTGTGCAGTGCTCTAATAGCCCTTTGCTCCCAACTACACATTGACATGCACCCACGCACGCTCGCCAGCTCAGACATCAACAAGGGCAGACGAGAAATCAGCAATTGCCCAGATCCGTGGCGGTGAATGGGACGCTCGGAATAATGGCCCTCTTTTTTAGCCTTGTTGTATCTTGAAAATAATTGCAGTGTTGTATTTTTGCCTTCAACTGGCTTCACAAGCGATGTTATTTTTGGGTGGTGGTGATTGTAGCGGTGTCTTGTCTTGGTGTGCTGTTAAGTTGAGATGTGTTGGTTTTGTCTTTAAAATGTTTTCACTGCATGAGCACATTATTTTATGATTATTATTTATATATGTTTTACTTCGTAAAAAATATATAGTTTTATTGTCTTCAGATATTCCTCTGTGCTGCTTATTATGTTGAATTAAAATGTACGTATTGTTTCATTATACTGCTGCATAGAGTTGTGTTGCCGCATTGTTCTCTGCAGCGATGTTGATTTAATGAATTGTGTAGCTTTATTGCATAGAGTTGCGTTGCTGTAATTGTGTTGTTTTGCTGCTCTCTTCCATTGGCTCGTGTTGCCCCGTCCACGTGTGCTGCCGTGTTGCCGTTGCGCCGAGCCGTACTCAAGGAGCGCTTGCCGTGTGTTTTCTCCTGTCCCACAGAGCCTTGGCCAATACCTCAAGCGCCGCATGTCCTTCAAGGGCTCCGTGCTGCAGGCCAGCGCAGTTACCTACGAGGTGGTCTCCAACATCCCCAAGGCACGTGCAGCCTCCCGCTCCCCACTTCTCCCCCAAGCTCTCCTCTGCTCACTCTAATCACTGCCCTGCGTTCGTTTGAGTCCAGTAAGTCACAGGCCCAGTGATCTCTTGCTCGTGCCACTCCTGGCGGAAAGGCCTCCACTGGAGCGAGCTCTCGAGGGGCCCCTCTAGAGTCGTATTTTGGTCTGCTCTTCCATGTTGGCCAGACATCTTGGGAAGAGGTGGGATTATCTGAACCGTTCCTGGGCCTCCTCGAGGTTAACTCAGCCTCAAATGAGTACCGAGTGCGGTGTGTAAAACATCGCCACTAGGGAGACACAGGCGGCCATGCGTCGTGTTGGCCACCCACCCCCTCGTGTGCTGTGCCAACTTTCATAGGTGCTCGCTAACAGCACTTGCCCCGACAATCTGTTCAGGCTACACGGGGGATCTTTGTGTAATTGAGAGTGAACATGTGAATGGTGTTGATAGTGTAGCGGTTAGCCAAGACGTCTGGCCAGCGTGGAAGAGCAGACCAAAATCCCTCTGTAGAGCGGCTCTCTAGAGCTGCCTCCAGTGGGAGGCCCTTTCACCAGGAGGGGTGCGAGAAAGCGATTGCAGGCCCGCACCTTGGCACCACGCTGCGAACGTGTAGACCCGAGGTCTCAGTTCCCATTGAGGGCCAACACCAGGACGATTATCTGAATCGGTCCTGTGCCTCCCCTCGGTCGACTTAACCTCAGATGGGTACCTGGTACGGAGTGTAAACATCGCCACTCGGTAGATAAAGGCAGTCGAGCATGGTGCTGGCCGTCCACCCCGTTGTGTGCCGTGCCGGCCTTCATAGTTGCTCGCTAGCAGCGCTTGCCCCAACAGTCTGTTCAGGCTATAACGGGGGATCTTTGTCATTTTATTTGGTGGTTGTGTAGGTGTTGTTTATGTTTACGTGGTTGGTATTCACGGTGTTGACGATGCTGCCGTTAATGCTGCCCGTGACGGTGTTGGTAATGTTTACATTTATGAATGTGTTGATTGTGTGTTAATGCCATGGATTTATTGGTTCCGTTTTATGCTGATCGTGTTCATTCTGCTGCTGCCGCCACTGCTGCTGCTTCCGCCACCACTGCTGCTGCGTAGGCGTCGGAGCAGTGGGAGGACGGCGCAACGCTCGCTCTCCTGGCCGCGCGGGGCGAGGGCGGCGAGGACGGAGAGAGCTACATGGACAAGTACACGCGGCGCATCCTGGCGCTCGGAAACCTGCTCAACATGGAGCGGCTGAGACAGGCGCGCGGCGCACCACTCACTCGCACGCCGCACCGCAACAAGCGGCTCTCGGCGGCGCCGACAGCGACGGAGCATCACTAGAAGCGGGCTGACGTGGGCGACGAGTGCCGACGCGCGATGTTGAGCAGTCGTGGGCGAGGATGGGTGCTTGTCGAGCGTTGGAGCTTGGCGGTGAGCGATGATGACGATGTCGTCGCGTGGGTGCACGTGTGTGTTCAGTGTGTAGGAGGTGGCTCTGATGGAGTGTCTGACAGCCAAGGGGAAGCACGTTCGCAAGAGCTGCAGTACCCCGAACGTGCACGCGGTAACTCGCACGCACAGAGTACTCGCACACTTAGACACACACGTATACACACTTGTGCAAAGACAAAGATCCCCGGTATAGCCTTACCAGACTGTTTAGGCAAGGGTTTGTCAGTGAGTAGCACCTATGAGGGCCGGCACGATTCGGTTGGTGGTCAGCACCTCGCCTGGTCACCTTTGTCTCCCTAGTGGCGATGTTTACACACCGCACCAGGTGCTCATTTGAGACTGAATCGATCCTAGGGGGAAGGCCCAGAACTGGTCCAGATAATCGTCACTGATATTGGCCATGAGTGGGAACCAAACTCGGGTCACCGGGTTCGTAGCGCATTGCACTAACCACGACACTTCCGCTACAGACACACAAACACACGTACACCATTTTTCTTCTCATTCTGCTGAATGAAGATCACCTGGGGGCCCGTGGGGGTTGCGTTACAATGCTTCTCCACACCGGTCATTGCGGCTTGGCAAAGGCAGGAAGCAAGGACGATGCTGGGAGCATAGTACAGTACAGCAATGGATTTTGCAGCACTGCCCTCGGCTGCCCACCAAGTAGCCCCGGGGTAGCAGCAGCAGCCTGTGATATTAATCCAATCTTATGCCCAGTAGTTGTCCTTGCAAACACGATCCAGGCTCAACCCTGCTTAGCTTCAGAGATGGGCGCTTTCCAGGTGATATGGTCAAAGGTAAAAGGGCAATATCCAGGCCTGGCTCCAACCCCTCTCGGATGGGGGGGGGGAGGGCAGGATAGTTGTTACGTGGGGGGCCATAGCAGTGATTCACCGCTAAGGAAAGTGAACTTGAGGGACATTTTGTGGTGCAATGCAGCACCACCATCCTAGCATCGGCCATGGTTATTGTTCAGTAAATGTCTATGCTAAATCTAAACAATGTTTTGTTATTTCACCAAGTAAGGTCCACTGAGTGATTTCGCTCTTTTTCAGAAGCGACCTGGCCACAAATGATAGCTCAACGAATTGGCTTATCACGTGGACATTTATACTGGCCAAATACTCTAAACGCACGTTTTAAATGTGGAGGGAAAAACCGGAGGACCCGGAGAAAAATCCAAGCGACCACGGGGAGAACATGCAAACTCCAAATATGTCAGGGTCGGGATCGAACCTACCACCTCTTGTATATCAGGCGAGGTATTTAACATCTCGCCACCATGGCACCCCATGCCCCCCTACTTCAGATCCCAGTAGTACGGGGGATGTTTGTGCACACGCAGCTATATACACAGACACAATAGAATAGGAACAATCATGCTTCACCATCGCATTCCGCGTGTGTGTTTAGCTCTCTGGGAGCCGTCTGGACCTGAGCAGTGGCTATGAGGATGAAGACAACAAGGTGAGAGCCACCCCCTCGTGAATCACATTGTCGAGAGGGGCATAAACCATCATCACGGGAACTCCGGTCGTCCTCCGTTGGCCGCCGCTGCTATTGTGGTTGAATGACTTTTGTTATTCTATTATCCGTGCTCTAGCACAGGTAAGAGTCGTAACTCAAACACCGTCAACAGAATAATAAGCTTTTGTTCCATTTTATCCAATGTGCAAGGCAGCAGCAGTGGCTTGTGTACGGCATCGCCCGCTTTCAGATGCGCTTCTGCGGCCGTCTGGAATGCTTTTCCTTTCGATATGAGGAAGCCACTGGAGCTATGCACTTTTAAATCTAGGCCAAAAACTCATTTCTTTGGGACTTCTTTTTTTGTTCAGTTTGTTGTCCTTCCCCCGCACCTCCGATTAGCACGTGTGGCTATGTACGGTGCGAAAGAACTTCCACGTGCATACGTACAGTGCTTCACCAGGACATCTTCCCGAAGAATCCGAGGATTCTGTCTGATTCATTTGAATAAAAATACGGTCAATTTTAAATCTTCTGGGGTAGTGATACGGAGGTGTCGCCCAGATCAAACAAAACACGGATCATACAAATCACATTCATGCATTGGGATATATTTATGGTTTACTTTGGTAGAACGGGGTGAAAATGTAAAACCTGATCGTTCTTCTACGCGGTAAAGCAGAAAACACATTTTTTTTACATAAATCAAGCTAAGTTATGTGCATTAAGTTATTGCACATTGAGGACACAATTCAACAACCTCGCGTTGTTCTTGACTTTGCAGACGTTTGTGGTCGAGGGGGCGCTGGGTCGCTGACTTCCCGACGAGTGAGCAGCCGATAGTTCTTGACCAACGTTTGGCAAAATTACTTCTTGCTCCGTTCGCGTGATGAATCCCTAACCCGAATAATCTGCCCATGGATCATGGAGCGTGAAATGCACTGAGTTGAGTTTGGGGTAATTAAGAAAAGAAACACACCGATAACTAGTTACCAGTTTGCCGCACACGTATAAATGTCGAGAGCAATAAACACAACTTGTTCTAACTTTCTAACTGAGCAACGAAGGCAGCTGGTGTTGTGTAACGGTGAGCACGCTACACTTGCGAATCTGTTGGTCGCCGGTTCAATTCCTTCTTTGCCGGCGCAGCAGTTGAATCGATGGGTACGCATCTTACACCACGGTTGGGCCAGCATGTCGCGCATGTGGGGTTAAAGTGTGGGGTACGCCCACCTCTGGTCAGTGTGAAAGAGTAGGAAAAAAACATTGACCTCCAGAGCGCCATCTAGAGGGAGAAGACCCTTCCGGCAGCAGTGGCGTGAGCGAGTAAATTGCAGGGCTGCGCCGTTACAGTTTGTTCAAGGTGCACACCTCCGTGCGGTTAGCATGCTCGCGCGTGCCGATCGATGCATTCCGTACTAAAATTCTGCTAATCTAATTTATGTTTGTGGAGCGCTTTCACTCGAGGCGCTTGACGGAGCTTACGTAACGGTGACCTGAATGGAATGATCTAGATGGCAGGGGCGTACGCAGATTGCGGAAAGAGTGACAGCCACAGAGGGTAAAGGGGCTACAGGGTACTGAAAGCGATTCCTGGCTCCTGACTTTTGCTGACTTTCTGAACAAAGACACCGATTTATCGTCACTTAACAGCCCTAGTTTAACATTTAAATTAGCGTTGGGGATTCTGTTAGGTTAAACACTTGTGTTCATTGTGTGGAACTTGCGATGAATTATAAGGTCAGAAATACAAAAAATGTGGAACTATTAATAGTTTTATATTATCAGGTTCAACCCACTGAGCTTTATTGGTCTTTTTCAAACGCTACCTGCCACCAATTAAAGCTCGACTAAGTGGCTTATCACGTGGAAATTTATAGCAGGCACATTCTCAAAATGCACGTTGATTCTAAATTTGGAAGCAAAAACTGGAGGACTTGGAGAAAAATGCACGCGACCACGGGGAGAGAGACACACAAACTCCAAATACACAGCAGGCGTCAGGATCTGGATCGAACTCGCGACCTCCTGCGTACCAGGCGAGGGATGTAACATCTCCTAGCCACCGTGGTGCCCATTTATGCCAAAACAACTTTGGCATAAATATTATTTGTATCGTTTAGGATGGCGAGAAGGCGAGGATAAGCGTTATGTATGGGTTAAAACTCTTGTTGAGCGTGAGTGTTTGGTTTAATGTTCGTGTTAATGATTTAGTAAGCATAGCGACGAGGCTTAGCTTTGATCATTGTTTGGGGAGTGGTGGCGCAGTGGTTAGTGCACTTCATGATGAACTGAGCGATATGAGTTTATTTCCAGCCATCAGACTTGGTGAAGTATAGTCAAACAACACCCCCACGACTGACACGTTGTGGGGAGTGCCTCATCCAGCAGTGGATTGACAAAAGGGGCTGTAGGAATACAGTTAGGCATAACATAAAGATTAGGACCTGAATGCATGTTGGGATTATGTTTTAGCGCAAGAAGTGTTAGGGTTTAACATTGCGAATTTAGTCGTGAGCCGAATGCTCAAAGTTAACATTGCAGCTATCGTTCGGGAACTGTGTGGGTAGCGAACGCGTGAAGGTTTTCCTTGGCGGTTGATGTCTGTGACGGTATTGAGAGCGAGACGGTCTCCTGGCCGCGCGTTAGTGTGTGCGCGGACTGTGAGGCACCACGTGCGGATGGAGAGAAACATCTCTCGGTCAACGTGTGATCAGTGCGCATCTGTGATGAACTAGACCCACAGGAGTGCGCCGTATCAAGTGTTCTTACGTACTTTGGGTGCAAATGGGCCCTGACGTGGCCTGCGTCGCTCATTCTCGGAACTCGTGAATGTGAAGTAGCGTCTGCGATTTGGAAATCTGACGGGAAGTGAAAAACGTTTAAAAAAATCATTACTAATCAGCACGGCGTCGCTTTTTATGTCGGGTCAAGTTGAGCATCATTCATGAACGTCTGCGTCCAGTCGTAGCTTCACGCTCGATGATGGCAGCTCGATCTGGGCGGTTGTTTTTACTCAACTCAGTCTCATTTTACAGTCGATCAATTCTGCTACACTTTAATACACAGGTTAGCAATTCTTCTGCGTTTAAACTCATTACTTTTAATAATATGCATTGCAAGTGTTGCATTTTAGTGCCAGTTATATCCACATTGTGCTATTGTTGTCGCATCATGGTTGAAATAAATCTGGTTTAGTCCACAGGGAATCAAAGGGGCCCCGCAATGGTGAATGTTAATTCCCTTGCCTGGTATGCAGAAGGTCGTGGGTTCGATCCCGACCCTAGACGCCTGTATAGTTGGAGTTTGCATGTTCTCCCTGTGGTCGTGTGGATTTTTCTCCAGGGTCTTCCGGTTTTTCCCTCGACGTTTAGAATCAACTCGGCGCTTAGGGTGTTCGGCTGCTGTCAATTTCCACACGATGAGCCACTTCGTTGAGCTATCATTTGTATCGCCAGATCACTCCTGAAAAAAAGCTATACAGCTCAGTGGGCCTTACCTGGGTGAAATTAAAGACGGTTGAGTTCATAGTTTAGTTGAAAGTATGTCAGAGACAGATGCCTGCAGATGATAGCACGTGATGACTTCGAGCTCACCTCAATAGGCCTCCTCTACTCCAAACAAGATCGCGTGCATTTGCACCCCCTGATAAGTGGTTTAATTACTTAATGCAGTTACTCACAGCAAAGGGGTCGCTGGCATTACAGTGTAGTGCACAAACCACTGCACGTCACTTCTCCGCCCTGGAGAGCACGATGAGTGAAATACTTGGCAAAAATATTCGTGAAATTTTAAATAAATTAAGCATTCAATAAAAGGTTATATGTGTGCATGAATTGCAGCAGCGGGTGCTTGTTCACGGGTTCCCGCCTCAAGCTATGCAAACGGATACGTCTTTCTATTTTGTATGGCTTTTAACGTTTCTGGCGACGCTTACAAGGCTCCCGCCAACGGCGCAATCCCCGTCCAGTCTGCGAGACGAAAGAGGTCCCTCTGTGAGCGGAAACGTCTGGACAGGATCTGACTCTATATTGTGCAGTGTCTCTGCAAAAGGCTTTGCTTCCCAGCTAAACGAGTCCTACTTGCCGTTCTGCTACACTGAAAAACACGGACGCATCACTAATGCGTGCCATGGCTAAATGTCAAAGCTGCTATCGGTCAAAGTAATGGGTAATTACATGACATTAATAATTCACTCTGGCTTGTCTTATGATGGGAGAAGCTCCACGTTTCTCACTCCATTACATGAAAATCGGTTTGGAAATGTCCCTTACAGATCAAATAAATGAAAAAACTATTTTCTCTCCGTGTAGTAGTCTGTGTGTGTTCCTCTCTCCGTGTCTCAGCATAAATCAAGGCACGCATCATCTCCCCATGCTCCTTTGAGCACTTGTCAGCTTTTTTTATTTTCTCATTGTAAGTGCTCTGAAGAAGGCCCAATACCCGGAACGTCACCTGTTGTTATGCCTTTTCCTCTTTTGGCCACGGTGCTGTTTAACACGTGGGCTTTCACGACCAATATTCATAATAAAGGTTTTTGGGTTAGATCGCGGATATATAGAAATGTGTCGTTAACCCACCACCACGAGACACAGCCAATGAGTCGGGTTTGTCACTTGACCAAACATTACTAATTGACTGTGTCGGGTGGTGGTCGGCTAGCGACACATTTACACTTGACGAAATCTAACCCGAAAAACCTTTATTATGCACTGCGCTGTTGGTTGAGTTTTCGTTGTATTTGTGTGCGCGCGTGAATATAAATAAATAAAGGTGCTCTCTGTGAAGTTTTTGAAACAAGGAGGCACATTTTTCAAATTCCCTCCTCCCGCACCCTCTGTCCAAGCCCGCAACATTAACGGCTACATCACAGTTCAGCCGTTTGGCAGGTGGCTTGTGGTGGGGTAAAAGTGTGGGCACGTCCACCTTTTTGGTCAACGTGGAAGAGTAGACCAAGCACCCTTTCGGGGTTCCCTCTAGCGGAGGGGCCCCTCCGTCAATGAATTGCGTGGCCACACCTTTGAACCTCCTTTCTACCTTCCCCATCAGCGATTCCCCGGGAGCACCCTGGAGCTCTCGTCAGCAATGCGACGCAGCTGCCAGGAGCTGTCGCCGCCGCAGAACGCGGCCTCCTCCCGCACGTCCACCCCCCACATGGGACAAGGTACGGCGGCGTCCGCTGGGCACACAGCGCAGCTCGCAGCCAGCGCTCGCAGTGGACAGGACACACCGCACGCATCGTCGCTGGAAGCTTTAAACGGAACTTTTTATTCTCTTTGCTTCTTTCGGTAAGTCACGTAGGTAGAAATAGAACAAAATAAATCACGACGTTTCGATAGATTTGAACCGCCTCTACGGGGAGGGTTTCCACACATCTGTTAGAGCTTTTAACAGAATGCGAGACAAGAAGGCTCAAATGACCGAGTCTCTCACCTTTCTGAAGAGATGCCACCACCACGAGCTTCTCTTCACAAGGCAGCAGACATTGTGCTGCTTGCAGCAGACATCGCGGCTGTCGCGATTTTCACCTGAAGACGATGGCTTGTGTTGCTATCGAATGTCGTGATTTATTTTGTTTTATACCTACGTGACTTACCGAAAGAACCAAAGATTATGGATTCCTGCAGTCACAAAAGCTTCAAATCAAGATTAGAACTTTTTATTTTTCCTGGTAAGGCCCACTGAGCTGTGTAGATCTCTTTAAGAAGCGACCTGGCTACAAATTGTATCCCAATGATGTGGTTTATCATGTGGAGATTTATCGCAGCCAAATACTTGAAAACGCATGTTTCTAAATATGGAGGGAATAAACAGGAGTACCCGTCTAAAAATCCACGACCCTCTGAACACCAGGCGAGGGAGTTAACATCTCACCACCGTGGTGCTTGCACGTTCTGCATTGCCCTGATGATCGTGATAGACCGAGTGTGGGCCGTACGCTGCGACAGCGCTCGGCAGCCAACGCCCACCCTCCAGCATGAACCCCTAGCGTCTCTCGCTCCCAAGCTAGCGCTCTTCCCTCTATCCCGGAGTCTTGACAGCAACGGTCGATGTGACACGTGTTCTCAAGGCCTGTGGGTGACCCCTCAGCCTCCTCCAAGTGCTTGCGGCTACGGAGTTATGGAGTGCAGAGGGCCTATGCTGCTCTTCTTCACCAACACGCATTGAGCAACAAGCCTGTGTGTTTGTCTGTGCAGGTTGGTGGCTGAACAAGCGGCGTTGTTTGTAGAGTGCTGCCTAATGGTGCAATTTGTGGGGAGCGGTGGCACAGTGGTTAGCACGCTGCGCTACAAACTCAGCGATCAGGCCACAATCATCATCACTGCTGCATATCCAAACATGTCCTGAACCTGCCTTGAGCCACCGGAGTTTTATTCCCGGTCAAGGCCAACATCGGTGGCTAATGTCTCTATCAGTCCTGAACCTGCACCAGGTCGACTCAGAGTGCCACGGTGGTGAGATGTTAACATCCTCGCCGAGCATGCAAAGGTCGTGGATTCGATCCCAACCCTGGCACCGGTATATTTAGAGTTTGCATGTTCTCCCCATGATCGTGTGGATTTATCTCGGGTCTTCCGGTTTTTCCCTCCACGTTTAGAAACATGAATTTAGAGTTTGTAGTATTTTGATGCTATAAATGTGCGCATGATAAGCCACTTCGTTGAGCTATCATTTGTCGCCAGGTCTCTTCTGAAAAGCTCGGTGGAGCTTACCTGGTGAAATACAAATAGTTTCGTTTTCGGTTGTCAATGAATTCCCGGTGCGATGCTTGAACATCGGCACTGGGGAGATGGAACGGACGGGCGCGGGGCTGGCCACCCACCCGAGTCGGCCTTCACGTGCACTCGCTAACAACACTTGCCCCGACAGCCTGTGGAGGCTACGTGGGGGATCTTTGCAGTTGTGTATAATGGACTCATGTAGAGCGTATAATGGATTCACGGCTCCACGTAAGTGGCGGTGTGCGCATTGCATTATTAATGTAACTTCCTTGCCACTGCCATGTCCCTTGTGCCCCCCCCCCCCCATAACCACGTTCCACAGAGTGGGGGGCAGGGGAGGGGTCCCCCGGGGGGTCCAGGCCAAGCCCTCGCTACCTCAAGCCCCTCACGCCTCTCCGGCAGAACCAGCTCATATCCCCGCCCAAGGTGCGACCGCCTGCACCCACTGCTGCCCCCACTGCTGCCCCCACTGCTGCCCCCACTGCTGCCCCCACTGCTGCACCCACTGTTGCCCCTACTGCTGCACCCACTGCTGCACCCATTGCTGCACCCACTGCTGCCCCTACTGCTGCCCCCACTGCTGCCCCCACTGCTGCACCCATTGCTGCACCCACTGCTGCCCCCACTGCTGCACCCACTGTTGCCCCTACAGCTGCCCCCACTGCTGCCCCCACTGCTGCACCCACTACTGCCCCCACTGCTGCACCCACTGCTGCCCCCACTGCTGCACCCACTGCTGCACCCACTGCTGCCCCCACTGCTGCACCCACTGCTGCACCCACTACTGCCCCCACTGCTGCACCCACTGCTGCCCCCACTGCTGCACCCACTGCTGCCCCCACTGCTGCACCCACTACTGCCCCCACTGCTGCACCCACTGCTGCCCCCACTGCTGCACCCACTGCTGCCCCTACTGCTGCATCCACTGCTGCACACACTGCTGCCCCTACTGCTGCCCCCACTGCTGCACACACTGCTGCACCCACTGCTGCACCCACTGCTGCCCCCACTGCTGCACACACTGCTGCGTTCACTGCTGCACCCACTGCTGCACACACTGCTGCCCCTACTGCTGCCCCCACTGCTGCACACACTGTTGCACCCACTGCTGCACCCACTGCTGCACCCACTGCTGCCCCTACTGCTGCACCCACTGCTGCACACACTGCTGCACTCACTGCTGCACACACTGCTGCACCCACTGCTGCACTCACTGCTGCACCCACTGCTGCCCCCACTTCTGCACCCACTGCTGCACCCACTGCTGCGTACACTGCTGCACCCACTGCTGCACCCACTGCTGCACCCAGCACCCCCTGAGTGTGCAGCTTGCGTTTGTGTCGTCCGTCGAGAGTTGCGGCCTCGTCACATTCCTGCTGGTGCTTCTGAAAAATAAGTTAATGGCTCAGTGGACCTTACCTCATGAGATAAAAAAAAACATAGTTAAGTTTTCCATAATACATAATTATAATGAGTTTTATTTGTGTATTTTTTTTTAGTAATTTTTTTACCTTGCCTATAATTTGCAATCCTTTCGTGTGTTTGAAGTGTTTGTTGTTGCAACGTTACTGACCTGCCCCGACTGAACATCTGCGGAAAAAAATGCTTCGTAGCTCATCGGACTCCTCCAGTATATTGAAAGATTCTGATTCTGCACGCACAACTACACACATCTGTATGCGTATGTACATGAGCTTTATTATCAACGGCCTGAGTAATGATAGATTTAGGGAATTCTTGTGCAGTTCCACACGGGACTTGCGATGAAGAAATTGTGTAAATTCCGTGAGAGCCTAGGGGTGGTCGAGACCACACTTACTCCAATGCTCATATTCTACACACACGTGCTCTCACAAGCAGACAGACGCTATGACCTTAACAAACCTTGGGGGCAAGTGCTGTTAGCGAGCACCTATGAAACTCGACCACGGCACTTGAGGGGATGGGTGGCCAGCACCACGCTCGGCCGACTTTGGTGTCCCTAGTGCCGATGTTTAAACGTCACACCAAGTACTTATTTGAGGCTGAGTCTACCTAGGGGAGGCCCAGGACCAGATGAGATCATTGTAATCATCACTGGTGTTGGCTGTGAGTGGGAATTGACCTCGGATTGCGCTAACCGCTTCCACTCGTCCTCACCACACCAGGATGCACCTCGACTGGCCACCACAAATACAAATGCAGAGACGCATGCACAAAGCCACACACTCTCACATACTCTCTCTCACGCAAAAACACGTGCGCACGATCGCATCCAAATACTCTCACCGCACAGGCACGCGCTGTCATAAATAGACAAATACAAAGCTCCCCCACATTGCCTCGTAACAAACCTGTGAGTGAGCACCTGTTGAGGCTGGCATGCACATGATTGATACAAATGGACACAAGCACAAAAACTCTCTCGAACACGCTTACATAAAGTCTGTTCCACCCAAAGTAACGCACTCGAACAATTGTACACGCGCGTTCTCACATGCCCGCACAACTAAATTCACTTAATCACACTCACATTATGTTAAAACACATTGATTACATAAATATATGGCTTACCGCATGGACCAGTGACGTCACGGCGACCAGGTTGCATCGCTACTTTTTTTTCCTGGCAGCTGGTGGAGTGGGAGTGATGACGTAATCCTAAACGGTCTCGCTGCCGCGTGCCCAACGTTACGATCTCGTTAGGCTGCGCATAAATCCTCTTCATTTTCACCTATGCAGTGTCAGAGCCTACGACAATTGCTGCCTTTCGGATTATACATACATTTTTGTATACTCGGGCCCCAGGAGAGAACCCATTGGGACTGAACTGTCCACGCACAGCCCTTTGCCAATCCACTGCCGGAGGAAGGCCTCCCACAGTTAATGGGTCAGTACAAATTATGCCACCATTCTTGACCACGTGTGTGCAGTGCGGGTTGCTCCCAGTCTTCACCAAGCCGCAATGTGGAAGTATAGAACTACAGTTGCATTCATTAGGCAATGTGGTTTGGGTGAAATGTAATGTCCCCAGTTTGTGATCGCATAGTGGGCCATACGAGTTGTGGAAGATTGCATTTCCCTGCACTCTTTGAGTTGAATTCACAGCCGGCTACAGACATGTGGTCCTTGTTAGGGTTGTTAATCGGTACACTGGTAAACCGGTAACCATTTGTCATAATCATTTGTCGGTTCTGAAAGGCAGGAATCGGTTACCATTCCCAGTGGAACGTATATATGTGTGTGTATGTTGAACTTCTTTTGCACCGTGTGTAGCCAACTGTGCGAATCGGAGGTACGGGGAAAAGACAACAAACTAAACACAACAAGTATTTTGAAAGAAATGAGCTTTCAATTTATATTTAAAAGTGAGTAGCTCCAGTGGCTTCCTAATATCGGAAGGAAGAGCGTTCCAGACGGCCACAGAAGCTCATCTGAAAGCGCGCGATGCAGTGACCATCTTTGTTCGATGGCCAGTAGCCAAAAGCCGCTTCGAGGATGAGTGGAGTTCGTGTGATGATGGTTTATGCTCCTTTACGAGATAAACAAGGTGTTGTGGTTCATTTGTAGCAATCACTTTGTGTGCAATGAGTGTGACACGCATTGAATTGTACGTTTGAGAGGTGATTATCACAACTACGCAGGTTTGCACGGTGGTGCTGCTGCTGTTGTACTGCTGTCTGTGTGTGTCCGGGTTGTTCCAAAGTGTTGTTCGGCCACCATGTCCGATGTTTTACTCCAGCTTTGCCTGGCTGCTGCTGGTGTCCGATGCTGGCTTGTGTGCGCACAGCTACGCAGTCATAATGTCTTGATATCACGCTGCATAATGGGTGTCTGTGTATAGTGTCTGTGTGCGTAGTGTCTATGTGTTTAGTGTGGGGAGCAGTAGCATCTGTGTGTGTAGTGTCTGTGTGTTTAGTGTGGGCGCTACAAACCCTGGCGACTCGAGTTCTCATGGCCACCAACACCATTGACGAATATCTGAACCAATCATGGACTTCCCATAGGTCGACTCAGCCTCAAATGAGTATCTGCTGCGATGTATGAACATTGCCACTCGGGAGACAAAGGCAGCCGCGGGCGTGGTTTTGGCCGGCCACCCTCTCGTGTATCATACCCACCTTGATCGGTGGTCACTAATGGTACTTGCCCCGACATTCTGTTCAAAGTTCACGCGGCGCATCTTTGTCCTCGTGGTGTTGCTCCGGTTGCCACACGTTGCCTCTGCCAGACCTGCGTCTTGCCGTGGCGTGACAGCGAGACGAGGGTGGCCGACTTAATTGCGTCCGTTTTTGTGTGCGACTTGAAACAACGTCGGCATTCAATCTGCACACGGCGGCTGACAATGCCGAACTGGCAATGATCGGTACGTTTGGTAGCTCGTTGGGACTCTGGCGAGAGTTAGAACAGAACGTGGTGATCGCCATCAGCCTAAGAGGGGCGTCGGACGTGGGTGCGGTTGGAAACTTGCTGGGAAAGTGTCGGTGGTGGCTCACCCTCCTGAGATGCTCGCTCTCGTTTCAAGCTGGCATGGCAAAAAGAAACTCGTGACTCGTTGCTGTCCTCACTCTGCGCCAAATACGGAGATTTCCCGTGCAGCCTTCGACAGACTTTCACATTTAGCGCCGTTTGCGAGCACAGTGCCTATTCAGGCAGGGTAGGGAGCGGTAGTGTCGGGGTTAGCGCACCTTGCTACAAACGCGGTCGCCCGAGTTCGATTCCCAACCATGGTTAACATCGGTGGCAAGTGTCATCAGAACCAGTCCCGAGCCTCCTCTAGGTCAACTCAGCCTTCAATTAAGTAGATGGTTGCGGTATGTCAACAACGGCACCGGGGTGACAAAGGCGATTGAGTGGTGGTGCCAACCACACCACCCCCTGGTGGGCACTAATCGTGACTGGCTGAGAGTTACTTACCAAGACACATTCCATATACTCACCTTTACCCTGCTGCTGTTCCTTCCCCCCACCCATCCCTGCTCATCCCTCCTTCTTCACAACCTGACCTCACCTCCGCACTTTACCGTGCACACACACCGTGCACACAGACACACCGTGCACACACACACACCGTGCATACAGACACACCGTGCACACACACACACCGTGCATACAGACACACCGTGCACACACACACACCGTGCACACAGACACACCGTGCACACACACCCACACACCGTGCACACACACCGTGCACACAGACACACCGTGCACACACACACACCGTGCATACAGACACACCGTGCACACACACACACCGTGCATACAGACACACCGTGCACACACACACACCGTGCACACAGACACACCGTGCACACACACCCACACACCGTGCACACACACCGTGCACACAGACACACCGTGCACACACACACACCGTGCACACAGACACACCGTGCACACACACCCACACACCGTGCACACACACCGTGCACACAGACACACCG